TTTCATTTATTTATTTATTATTATTATTATTATTATTGCAGGAGAAATCTGGTGAGCTGTCGTCCCGGATCCAGGCTTCACTTCGGATTCCTCCTAATGTTCGAGTATCCGCTTCCCAGAACGGATGGATGACGACTGCCGAGGTGCAACGCTGGATTCGACGAGTGTGGGGCCCGAACACTGACGATGTCCGCAGACTGCTCACTCTGGACAGTTACCGTCCACACACCTGTCCGTCTACCCTTGAGATCTTCAAGCAGTATGACACAGACATCGTCACCATTCCCGGAGGTATGTATATAATATTACATTTTAACGAGGAAGTGCGTTTATTCAGACAATTACGGTACATAAAGCAATGTTCTGCAGACCCCGGAAATGAATGTAGGTAAAATACGTTTTATAAACGCGGAGGGAGGCAAAAGTAATAGCAACAGATCCATTGACGTTGCAGCTCATTATCATCAGCATTGTCGTTCTTGTCAGGGACACATTTATACTCCTTGCATTTTTTTTATTGAAATATGAGGGCAGTCTACAAATTTTATAAATGCCTTAGACTGAGTTTCAACGAAAGTTTGAGCCGACTGAAACTACCTTAATATTCATGAACTACAGTGTCAACTTTACAGTGCAAGGACTTCACATGGAAATCACAAGTTTCACTCCACATGTATACAAGTACACAGCCATTATTCTCAACTGCTCTCCTCAAACCTGATTTTGAAATATCCACTAGTGTCTCAGCTCTGTAACTAGCCTCAAACCACTTTTTGAATGGGAAGTTATTTGTATCACAAACATTAGGAAGGCCATTGCTATCCGTTAGAAGAATAGGTGTTCTCACAGTCCTTGTTGGCTTGTCACTGGAACCATCATGTGTATTTTGAAGGAATTCATCAAGATGTTTCACACTCATCAGAATGGTCTGTAATCATACACACAAGTTCCAGTAAATAGTGCCTTTACCTGTCCAGCACTGTCCAAGTAAGGCCAACAGGTACACAGGTAAACTCTACTGGTGAGTAGATTTAACACATCTTTACACAATGTTCACAAAATATTTCATCAAAAATCAGAAAATTTCCAAACAATTTAAAATTAAAAAAAAAAATTTTTAGATGTATTTGTTCAAGAAGTTTTAAATCATTAGATCCCCATATTTCTTAACCGTATAATAAGATAGGTACGACCAGTGAATCAAAGAGCCTCAGCTGTAGATCAACAGGTATTGCTTGATTCTGTATTTTTCTAAAAATAGAGAAAATAGACTTTTGTGCTCATTCAATAAGTCCTTTTCTAGCACTATGAAAACATCCATTAAACTTAAAAGTTATACCTAAGTATGTAAAGAAATCTACATTATCTAACGTGTTGTCATTTAATACAAAACAATGATTCTGTCTGTTCTTTCTTTTACTAAATATCATGACCTTTGTTTTACTTACGTTAACATCCAGTTTCCATAATTTACAATGTTGCTGAAAATTATTCAATGATTTTTGCATTTCATCCCAGGATTCAGAAAAAATAACTCTATCATCAGCATACAAAAGTATAAATAACTATGTGAATCCAAAGTTCACTCAAAATTATTTCACTTAAATTTTCAAGAGGGGCACTGTCTATTGATAACATATACTGTTCCAGGTCATTTAAAAAAAATGGAAAACAAAAACGGGGACACATTTTCCCCTTGCCTGACACCGATCAGACAGGGGAAAAAGTCTGAGGTTTCTGAATGAAAGCTCACACAAGATTTTATACTGTAATACATATCATAGATAACTAAAACATTTACCACTTATTCTGCTGCTATTCAATTTCCAAAGTCCCGTTCTCCACACTGTATCGAAAGCCTTACGGAAATTGACAAATGTACAATAAAGTTTTTTACCAGATGACAAACAGTAAGAAATTAGAGCATGCATTATGAAGATGTTATTCATGGTAGAGTGTTTTTTATGGGAGATACTTTTTTTCCATCTGTAAAATCAAGGCTATTTTTAATATCTACTCACGTGTGTTTCAATATATTCCTTATTAAAATGTTGTGCTTTTCTAATGTCTTAATTTCAAGTCATGGATAAAAGAATCCTTAAGATATCTGAACAATGTACAAAGGTGCTCCAGAGTGATCAACATCCTCTTTGTGAATAATCAGCTTTGATCTTTGAGATTCAAAACGGCAAACTGAGAAAGTTGACTTGAATGCTGCTTTGTGAGTACATGAAGTATACCATACATTGTATAAGTTTCCAGCTGTCATTTAATTGTCAGTTATATTACACAGTTCTTAATGATAACACAAATAAATATGAATTGGTCAATGACGCTTTATTCAGCATTAACCGCAAAGATATAACAAAAGATTTCAGACATTCTCTGAACAAAACAAGGTCACAATCACATATCACAGATAGTTTTAGCTTTGCCTGGTAAATGTCTTTTGTCTATAATATGCAACTAATTTTCAATTTTTCATTTTCAATTTTAACTCTATGTACAGGTGAAGATTTTCTGTTTTGTTTTTTTTACCTCAGATCTACAAAATATCAAAATAAATCAATCCGATATCCTTAATGATGCCCAAGTTCCCAGTCTGATGGTCCCTGATTCCCAGTTTGTTGTCTGTACAGATAATCAAAAAAGACCAGTACATGGCGTACTACACCAGACCTGGCAATTATTTAGCAGCAAGGTCTCCTTCTTATAGCTGGTGGCTACCTCACTGTTTGCCATCTACAGCAATTTATGTTTTGCCCAACAACACAACTTCGACAACATGGACTTGTCCATTTCTAAGCTTCCAAAAAGCTACAACTACCACAAGTACCTGTAGGGTCAGAGAAAGTGCCATACCATACCCTTCAGATCATCCTCAGAAGTTGTGTGGACCAACACTCTACCAACTCAGCTACAGGCACCCCTTTAACATACAGAGCAGCAACACTGACATCAAGGCATCAAACAAACAATAAAGTATCACAATATTCTAGCCAGATAAAACATTCACATTAAACAGGATATCACATTTCTATTGACAAAGTACACAGTCTTTTTAAACACTGCATTCATTGTCTCCAGTAAAACACAATGTTGTATGTAACATGTCTCTGCATGATTCAAACTTAATCAATGAATACTATTGTCATTGTGCTAGATTTGGAGGAAGTGTAAAGGCAATACATCAGTATACACCTAAACACAGTAGGTATATTTATACTAATGTGTAATGATATCAAACCAGTGATAAACAAGCTCACACCTCTAAAAATCTCAATACTGATTTATATATAGATATAAATATATGTAAATAAAACATCTCCTAATTGGAGTTTGTATGTACAGACAGCAGTATGACCTCACTGATTTGAATGCCAAGTATTAAACATGCATATTTATTCTTGACACTACAAACTTGAATATGATAAAATACTAGTTTTTATACAGACAGCAGTTTGATCCAACTTATTCTAATATACATAATAATATAAATATTTGACCCCACTAGCCTGAATATGTTCAGAAGACCAGTTTTATGTACAGACAGCAGTTTGACCCCACTAATTTGCATCAGCAGTGTATATTACTACACCAATTGATAAAATCAACAAAACTTTAAAAAAAGTCATTAATAATAATCAAACTTTTTACAGACAGCAGTTTACTTCCACCGATTTGGAACAACATATTTTCATAAAATGTAGAGAATATTGAACAATGACATCAGCAAGGGAAAACAAGTGTAAATTGTTCCTTACAGAATTGCTATTTTAAATTTTAAACATTTTGAGAAAAAAAATCCAAAAAATATAGGAAATGATATTTTTGAACATATATATATCTAATATTTCAATGCTGAATGGTAGAAAACCAGTTCTTAAATGTAAATGCTGGATCTCTTGCACAGATTTAAATAATATATACTATATATTTTAAAAGGTCCATAGCTTAAATGTCATCTGCTTGTGTAATACTGAGAACTTTGTACAGGCATATTTTATACATATTTGTAATGTAGGTTTATATATTTACATAATGCACTTTTTATCATATGATTACAGAAAATAAGTAGCAATATAGGTATCACAGACTTCCTAACCAATACACATACTTCTATTGGACTCATCAGCGTCACAAACACAGATTTCTTCAACAAGTAAACATTCAATGAAAGACTGAGCAAAAATTCAAAATAATTCAATATATTCTGTGAATTGATATATAGTAACAGGAACTGAAGACTTTTAAGCTAAAACCAATACCATCTAATATTGAAACTCAAAAGGAATGTATAAAATTAATAACAATTTTTATCTTTATAGAGATTAAAACAAAAATTCAATGAAGTTTGAGTGCTATTTTTCTTTCTTTAAATTCTGTAAAAACCATAAACTTAACTTTATCTGGAAATAAATATCAGTGTATAGACTATAATGCTCAACATTGGCACTGCATGGCTTTATATTTCACCTCGGAATAAAACCTACTCCAGTAGGAAACTGGATTGTGATACCACATGGTTATTGTCTATATTGGCAGCTTGGCATTGTAGACAGCAACATGCACCATCATTATGGAATGTATTGCTTTGAAATTTTGAACACCAAATTAAGAAAAAATTGATGTCATTCATATCTGTCTTCTTGACTGGATCTATACCCTGTTGTTAAGAGCTATTTCATTTCAGGATGACAAGAACAATTCTGTTTAAATAGAAATGTTATCATATAAATTAAAAAGTAATAAAAGAAAAAAAAAAATTCAATTCTTCATTTTTCTTGATATTGGGAAATTTCCTCAAACACATTTGCTGGGTAGCCAGTTACTGTCAGTCTATCTCAATATTGAGGGTCACCAGATTAAAGGTGAGGTGGAGGTGGTGAGGGGGATGTGTCTCAACTTCACCTTGTCTCCTATAAACCTGTCTGACCCTCTTAATTTACAGTAGAACAACATTAACTAACCAAAATAGTAATAAAGAACATACCATCCAATATAGGTGCCACTGTATAGAGTGGTTCTGATAGTCATACTATCAATTAGCACTTCATTTTGCTAAAAAACCAAACAATTTTATGACCTTTACGTGACCATTCTGAGATAACTTATCAGTTTACTAATGTTTCCATCTGTTTAGACTGCTGGACAACTTTGGGTAGGGTAGGATTAGAGGTTAACATGGCTGACGATGACTGTAAGGGAGATCGGTGATACACAGCATCGGCAGACATGGTCACACCATTTTGATTGTTGTTTCTGCCAGGATTTTTGAGGATGGACTTGGTTTCAGTGATAGTTGGGGGTATTGGATCAACGTCAAATACGGGTCGTGGCTTGCCGAATCTTTGGTAGTCATCTGGAATACGAAACAGATGATTGTCGCGCTCCTCGTCCTTCAATGGATTAATTGACCTCTTCCACAGTGTACCCCTCTCCTTGTATCTAGGACTTAAAGATAACAGAAACATATTTATTTTAAAAATTTCCAATCAAATTCCTGAAAACAAACAATACTTTCAATACCCTAAGTCCTGTGTTAGTGACTTGGGTAACAGCATCACCACGCCTAGCCTAGCAATATTATTTAGGTTACCAAAAATTGGTTGTTGCAGTACACATAGGTTTTGAAAAACAACTTCTTAATGTTGGTGTACACGCAGACAAAAAGATAAAACTTTAAGATTGCATCTATTTCTTTGTGGGAATGAAACTAAAATGCTTCGTTGAAAAAAAAATCAGAAAATAGATCATACTCACTTAAAGTCAAATCCTTTTTTCTCTGCAAATTGGTTATGATCATAATCATACGCTGGTATCTTGTTTCTCTCCAGGTTCCAGCTATGTGACTCAAACGGACCAGGTTTGAACCCCTTGATTTTCTCATAACCCTCACCCTCAACAGCAGGATGAGTGGAAAGGCCAGCGAGTCTAGCCTCTGTGTCAACACTGGGGTTCAGAACCACATTGAGAGGTGGTACATCCCTGAGATGAAGACCTGGTTTACGGAGGGACAACTTATTCGGACTGTCCTTCAGTAATCCTCGTAACTTATCTATCTGGTTTTGACCCTTGTCATTGAGTTCTGTCTCCATGAGGCAGCGATGAAAGTATTGCCTAGTATCGTCCACCACCTGCTTTGACCGCCACTTCTCAAAATCTTTCCGTAATGCATCGAGGCGCTCCTTCTTTAGTTTCTGGCCAGCCAGGTGGATGGTGACTGGCTCATCTCCAAACACAGACTTAGGTCGGCGATACAACTCCATGTCATGGTGACGTACTTCCCAAGGAAAGCAGTCACGCTCCAGTGGTGGCTGCAGCATCCCTACATGTAGAATGTTCTCTCGCCATGGCTACAATGATAACAGAGGATTATTATTCTATTCACTCATCAACTCCCTCTGATAAAAACACTCATCGAGTTATTCTTATCCCCTTTACTTGTTTTGGTAAGTGGACATGATATCATGTTATGTACTAAAAACATTCAAGATAACACTTATCAGATAAATGTAACAAAGTGATAAACTTAGCTAATCCTTGTCTTACAAAATTAAAAATGAAAGGTAAATTCTGGGACTAAATTTGAAATCTGTCATATCAGCTTATCACAAGAAATAAACATTGATCAAATGACAATGAAATCCTTGTTGACTATAGAGAAATTACTACTGTGGATATGGAACCTAGTCTGAGGTGGTGACAAGTTATAAAGAATACATGTATTAGAGTAATTGAGGAGAAATTTGTACTGACTGACACTACAGGGAACATACTACATATATACTACATATATACTGGGATGGTAGATATAAATAAAAACATACAACACCTTTCAGACATATTTCTCGGCACATTAGTTACCACAAGTAAACTTACCTTAAAACCATATTACATATAAACACATAGGATATAGTTAATCTCTCCCTTCCCCGCCTCCCTTGAAAGGCTCGACATGTACAGTATCTATCATATATTGTCAAAAAAAGTAAAAATCTAGGGAAATACAGGACAGAACAAACAGGATGAATTTAAGAAGACTTATATAACATCAGAGTTAAATAAAATAACATCTTTATTTATTGCTAACATCAAAAGTTGACTCCAGTTACTGTTGACGATAACATTGTTTTATACTAGAAACAAGCATTCCTGCATATAATTATAGTAGGTTTAACATGTAATATGTTGTACATCTGTCAGTGAACTACCATGTTGATTTTCTCTTCTTCATTGATAGTTAATACAGAAAAAAGACAAATTACGTAAACATCTGATGACTTCTTGAACATTGGTATGTTTAAGTTCAACATCTTATTCAATGACTTTTCAAATCCATCCAGATGATTGCTTTGTCCTGTATAGCCATTTGTGAAAAACATAATTCACATCATCATCTATTTCTGATATGTTAGAAAGGGACCATGCAGAGGGACTGATTGCTGGACAGAATAACAGAATCTGTCACCAGTATGTGTTCAGGATCCTATTATCTTGGTCAAGGGCCGACATTCTTTAACAAAAATATCATTTCTGGCTAAGCTGAGAAAGTGATATTACAGATGTCAGCCCGAGGCAGAGATAAGTTAATCTTGAACATATATATGGGTAAAAGATTCAATTTCTCATACAGTTTTGTAAAAAATGTATCAAACTTTCGTTTCCCAAATTTTTAAGTTTGTCAAGATTTTCTGCAATTTCTGTTTAATGTCAGAAAGACAATTAAATGACGTTTTACTTATCACATCACCTGGCGCCAAATACCACAAAGTTATAACATATTGGACATGATAGAAAAATCTAGCAATGGGTAGCACATGAGATTTCTCTGTCTCATGTACGGGGAAAACTTGGACTGGAATTCTATACTATAGGTATTCTTCCACAGTACTTCCACCTAGACTCCATCAATACAGGAGGCAGTCTTGTCTCACATCTTGTACAGAAAAAAAATTGTAGGAGATAGTAAACTAGATATTCTGTGACACTGAAGTGCCATTGCATACAAGGTTTCCATGGTGTCAATCATGATTAGGTATTAAGACTGTTTAACACACTGTATTAGTGGAGGTAGGGTTGAGTACTTGAGTCAAACATGCATTCTTATCAATACCATTGATAAGTACTAAAACACATCACAATCTGGTAGTAATTTATACCGAAAACTTTGACAATTTAATTGGCACTTTGTTGAGTGTAAATATTTTCCAAGGTCTGTGTGTTTATAAAGCTGTCTTGACAGAAAAGGACTTAGTTTCTTGGGTTAAAGGCTATTAACCATCCTATTTATTACCTTACCTTGATATTTAGTCAATAGCATTTAAAACTGACAGTCATGCTTAAATCCTTACGTGGTTATTAATGCACTGTAAAAATACCTGTATTAGCAGTGAAAATTTCCATAGATGACTCATTCAAGTCTACATGACAATTAAATAAACCCTGATGTTTTAAAACATCAAAGATGGCAGTGTATGGGCTTGCAGTGAGAGTTATACAACTGTAGAGATATGTGACATTTACCAATGTGTTCAGAGAGAAATATTTCCCTCTGTGTTTAAGGATGTGTTCAGAGAGAAATATTTCCCTCTGTGTTTAAGGGATGTGTTCAGAGATAAATATTTTCCTCTGTGTTTAAGGATGTGTTCAGAGAGAAATTTTTCTCTCTTTGTTTAAGGATGTGTTCAGAGAGAAATATTTCCCTCTGTGTTTAAGGATGTGTTCAGAGAGAAATATTTCCCTCTGTGTTTAAGGGATGTGTTCAGAGATAAATATTTTCCTCTGTGTTTAAGGATGTGTTCAGAGAGAAATTTTTCTCTCTTTGTTTAAGGGATGTGTTCAGAGATAAATATTTTCTGCTGTGTTTAAGGATGTGTTTAGAAAGAAATATTTTCCTCTGTGTTTAAGGATGTGTTCAGAAAGAAATATTTTCCTCTGTTTTAGGAGATGTGCTCAGAGAGAAATTTTTCCCTCTGTGTTGAAGGATGTGTTCAGAGAGAATTTTTTTCCTCTGTGTTGAAGGATGTGTTCAGAGGGAAATATGTTCCTCTGTGTTTAAGGATGTGTTCAGAAAGAATTTTTTTTCCTCTGTGTTTAAGAGATATGTTCAGAGAGAAATATTTCCCTCTGTGTTTAAGGATGTGATCAGAGGGAAATATTTTCCTCTGTGTTGAAGGATGTGTTCAGAGGGAAATATTTTCCTCTGTGTTTAAGGATGTGTTCAGAAAGAAATTTTCTCCCTCTGTGTTGAAGGATGTGTTCAGAGGGAAATATTTCCCTCTGTGTTTAAGGATGTGTTCAGAAAGAAATTTTCTCCCTCTGTGTTGAAGGATGTGTTCAGAGGGAAATATTTCCCTCTGTGTTTAAGGATGTGTTCAGAAAGAAATTTTCTCCCTCTGTGTTGAAGGATGTGTTCAGAGGGAAATATTTCTCTCTGTGTTTAAGGATGTGTTCAGAAAGAAATTTTCTCCCTCTGTATTGAAGGATGTGTTCAGAGGGAAATATTTCCCTCTGTGTTTAAGGTTGTGTTCAGAAAGAAATTTTCTCCCTCTGTGTTGAAGGATGTGTTCAGAGGGAAATATTTTCCTCTGTGTTTAAGGATGTGTTCAGAAAGAAATTTTCTCCCTCTGTGTTGAAGGATGTGTTCAGAGGGAAATATTTTCCTCTGTGTTTAAGGATGTATTCAGAGATAAATATTTTCCTCTGTGTTTAAGGGATGTATTCAGAGATAAATATTTTCCTCTGTGTTTAAGGATGTGTTCAGAGAGAAATTTTTTCCTCTGTGTTGAAGAGATGTGTTCAGAGGGAAATATTTTCCTCTGTGTTTAAGGATGTATTCAGAGATAAATATTTTCCTCTTTGTTGAAGAGATTTGTTCAGAGAGAATTTTTTTCCTCTGTGTTTAAGGATGTGTTCAGAGGGAAATAATTTCCTCTGTGTTTAAGGATGTGTTCAGAGAGAAATATTTTCTGCTGTGTTTAAGGATGTGTTCAGAGAGAAATATTTTCTTCTGTGTTTAAAGGATGTTTTCAGAAAGGTATTTAAGATAAATTTGATAAGAGTTTCCATCTTGTTAAGAGGAAAATGCCTTGTATGATGAATTATGTTCAAGAAATATTTCCGTCTTTGTTTAAGGGATGTGTTCAGAGAGAATTTTCTCCCTCTGTGTTTAAGAGATGTATTCAGAGAGAAATTTTTCTCTGTTTGTTTAAGGGATGTGTTCAGAGATAAATATTTTCTGCTGTGTTTAAGGATGTGTTCAGAAAGAAATATTTTCTGCTGTGTTTAAGGATGTGTTCAGAGAGAAATATTTTTCCTCTATGTTTAAGGGATGTGTTCAGAGGAAAATGTTTCCCTCTTTGTCTAGAGATGTGTTTAGAATGGTGTTTAAGAAAAGTTTGATAAGAGTCTCCATCTTTGGAAGAACCTGATGTTAGAGACTTGTTTAGAGGAAACTGCCTTGTATAATGAATTATGTTAAAGAAATGTTTCCCTCTTCTGAGATACATCATGTTTGGCACTTAGTTCAGAGGATGGGTTCAGGAAAAGGTCATTTTTTGTTGGTTTCAAAATAGAATAATTTGACAATGAATCCCTTCCTTCCTAAATCCCAAGTTACTGCTAGAATGAGTATGTTTACAGTGTATCAATGACTATATAACATATAAAGTCTTAATTCCTGACAAACAATTTAGAGGTGTAAAGCAATGTTTATATTACAAAATTATAAAAGAATTAGAAGCTGGATGTGTGGTATGATGGCCACATCTCTAGTATATAACTGTACTAGTGTATTTACCCATATAACATGAATTTGAATTCTCTGTAATGTACAAATGACAGTAATACATCAACATCATTCGTCACAGTCACAATTCAGTACAACAGCAATAACTACACACCACAGGAAACCAAGACAATGACATCAATCATTCATACAACAAGATATAAATCAAATTTGTACAATATGATGATGTTTTAGTTTAAAACCACACTAATGACAAAATCTAGAGTTGGTTACTAATGTCAACAAACACTGATTTAACACTTCCTTCACCAGAGCATGCATCGCGTGTAACAAGACTATGGATAAGTTGGGTATAAATGTAGGTAAGTACAATGTACTTATCTCTATAAAATATTTCCAGATAACACTATGCCATTGATGATTTCAATAATTTTACTCCCATTGCGCCATTCTTCAATCTTATCATGTACCTTGTGAATTATCTCTCCACGCACTTCCCTATCCCTTTCCCTACGTAACCCTACATGATTGGTCGTTTCTTACATACCTCTGTCAATTCCTCGACCCTGGCTGTGTCTGGACGTCCTGGGTGTACATTACACTCCTGCATAGTCTTCATGCCAGGGTAGATCCAGCCTGTTTCTGTTTTCCAGCGTCGTTTTGATTCCTCTTGGGCCTGTTTCCTTAATGCCTCCACGTTGACCGGGACAACAGTCATAGAATGATGATAGTCTTGACAATAGGTGTATCGTGTGTCAGGATGCTGAAATGAATAAACATATCTATATATATATATCAAACTGTAAGACATATAATCATAGCTAGTATGTTACGATACAATTAGTGTAGTAATGTGTACACACAAGTGACACATATCTTTTAATTGTCCCTTACATAACAGTTAAAACTGAACTGAAGTGAGGAAATTTGTTTGAATCTTGTCCTGATGAAGCCTCTGCAACAAAAGATGAAACTAGTCAACAAATAAGTAAACACCCACCTTATCGGTAACACGTGTGTATATTTTGATTCATACCCTCTTCATATATACTTCTTATATCACTGATAAAATGATATTATGAATGTTAAAATTAAAATGTTTAAAGCATCATTTATGGTGATTTCTGTTCAGATATTTACAAAATGGTGTATCCTTGTTCACAAAGATTTTTAAAAAAGTGAAGGGAAGAAAGCCTTACCTCTGCCAACATCTGTCGTAGCTTCTCCTTGGCCAGTTCTGTAGAGTTGAGTGTCTGAGAACTGTAGTTATGAGCGACTTTCACATCTGCATGGATTGTTGGAATTTTATTCATTTCTCTCTCCTTTTTATTTATCTCGCTGGCATTTCTGATGTCTTCCTGTTACAATAAACAAAAGTTGTTGTCATTTAGATTCCTACTGCAAGAAAAATTTAAAGCAAGAAGGCAGTGATATTACAAGTTTGGTTTTAGTTACTGTTTCTACAATCTGAAGGTAGTAGTCCAGAGTTTCTCAGTGTAGTCATGGGTGTGGGTGTTTTCTTAGTATCATGTTTTTGCATTGTGTTAGAGAAAACTATTTGGGCTGTCTTGAATCTTTGTCTACACAACGAAAGCTAGCAAGAAGTGAAATTTTCATAGTGTTTACACATGGTCATGTTGTGAAGGATTTCCCAAGTCGGAATTTGCTGAAATGTAAGTACTTTGTTACCATGACAGTGTTGTTGATTTTAAGAGCTTGTGAATGATCTTTCCACCCATTTCCCTATTCCCTTCCTTACATATGTGTTAAGAAATAAATTTCTTCTATAAAGTTGTAGTGTAAGGTTGGAATTAGTAGTACTTTTGCATTTTTAGCATATCTTGAGTTGGTAACCATGGCAATCACATGTCAGAAATCAGAGGGAAAATTTTGATTTACACAAATTTTATTCCTCTACTGTTAATGTAATAATAATATAGTTTATAAATATATATATATGCAAGGATGTATTTGTATTAACAAATCTGCCATACCTGTACATCTCAAAGATTTCAAGAAAAATGTAAATTAACTGTTTCCTGCTACCTAATGTCTTTATCTTATTTTCATGTATAAAGTTGTGGTGTTGTATAACTTTACCTTATTTTCATGTATAAAGTTGTGGTGTTGTATAACTTTACCTTATTTTCATGTATAAAGTTGTGGTGTTGTATAACTTTACCTTATTTTCATGTGTACAGTTGTGGTGTTGTATAACTTTACCTTATTTTCATGTGTACAGTTGTGGTGTTGTATAACTTTACCTTATTTTCATGTGTACAGTTGTGGTGTTGTATAACTTTACCTTATTTTCATGTATAAAGTTGTGGTGTTGTATAACTTTACCTTATTTTCATGTATAAAGTTGTGGTGTTATATAACTTTACCTTATTTTCATGTATAAAGTGGTGGTGTTGTATAACTTTACCTTATTTTCATGTATAAAGTTGTGGTGTTGTATAACTTTACCTTATTTTCATGTGTAAAGTTGTGGTGTTATATAACTTTACCTTATTTTCATGTGTACAGTTGTGGTGTTGTATAACTTTACCTTATTTTCATGTGTAAAGTTGTGGTGTTGTATAACTTTACCTTATTTTCATGTATAAAGTTGTGGTGTTGTATAACTTTACCTTATTTTCATGTATAAAGTTGTGATGTTGTATAACTTTACCTTATTTTCATGTATAAAGTTGTGGTGTTGTATAACTTTACCTTATTTTCATGTATAAAGTTGTGATGTTGTATAACTTTACCTTATTTTCATGTATAAAGTTGTGGTGTTGTATAACTTTACCTTATTTTCATGTGTACAGTTGTGGTGTTATATAACTTTACCTTATTTTCATGTGTACAGTTGTGGTGTTGTATAACTTTACCTTATTTTCATGTATAAAGTTGTGGTGTTGTATAACTTTACCTTATTTTCATGTGTAAAGTTGTGGTGTTATATAACTTTACCTTATTTTCATGTGTAAAGTTGTGGTGTTATATAACTTTACCTTATTTTCATGTGTAAAGTTGTGGTGTTATATAACTTTACCTTATTTTCATGTATAAAGTTGTGGTGTTGTATAACTTTACCTTATTTTCATGTATAAAGTTGTGGTGTTGTATAACTTTACCTTATTTTCATGTATAAAGTTGTGGTGTTGTATAACTTTACCTTATTTTCATGTGTAAAGTTGTGGTGTTATATAACTTTACCTTATTTTCATGTGTAAAGTTGTGGTGTTGTATAACTTTACCTTATTTTCATGTGTACAGTTGTGGTGTTATATAACTTTACCTTATTTTCATGTATAAAGTTGTGGTGTTATATAACTTTACCTTATTTTCATGTGTAAAGTTGTGGTGTTATATAACTTTACCTTATTTTCATGTATAAAGTTGTGGTGTTGTATAACTTTACCTTATTTTCATGTATAAAGTTGTGGTGTTGTATAACTTTACCTTATTTTCATGTATAAAGTTGTGGTGTTATATAACTTTACCTTATTTTCATGTATAAAGTTGTGGTGTTATATAACTTTACCTTATTTTCATGTATAAAGTTGTGGTGTTGTATAACTTTACCTTATTTTCATGTATAAAGTTGTGGTGTTGTATAACTTTACCTTATTTTCATGTGTACAGTTGTGGTGTTGTATAACTTTACCTTATTTTCATGTGTACAGTTGTGGTGTTGTATAACTTTACCTTATTTTCATGTATAAAGTTGTGGTGTTGTATAACTTTACCTTATTTTCATGTGTACAGTTGTGGTGTTGTATAACTTTACCTTATTTTCATGTATAAAGTTGTGGTGTTGTATAACTTTACCTTATTTTCATGTATAAAGTTGTGGTGTTGTATAACTTTACCTTATTTTCATGTATAAAGTTGTGGTGTTGTTCACGGGTTCCCAAACGCTCCACATATTCCTTGTTGTAATTATCAATTGGTGTCCAGAGTCGACTTGTCTCTCTGATGAACGAGTCGTAGTGTGTTACCTGCACCTCCGGCTCTCGCTGTTTCTCTTCTTCTGGCAGAAGTTCTGTACACAAGACAACATTTTAAACAAATAAGCAAATCAGAAAAGTATTGGCTAGTCATCTCAAATACAACAAAAATAGCAAAATATACAAGTGTGCCATACATAGACTCGATCTGTGACAATTGTGCATTTTACAGTCAATACATTCCAGTATTTTCTAGAAACTCTCAAAATTCTCTTGCCTTAGCTTTCAGAAGGACATACATCATAATAATTTAAAATCTGTCAAAATATAACTTTTCTGAGTTTGGTGATAAAAAGTATCTCAAATCTGTTTTCATTTTTTACATGAAATTTCATGGAACTTGTCTCGCCAAAGCTCACAGAAATAAAAACTTCTAAGGCTTGTTTCATACAGTCTTGTAAACACTTCAAAAATCCTAGGTTAACTTGTGGCTCCCTCTAGTGTTAGAACCTACCTTCAAAGTCTGCTTGAGTGAGAGGAACACCAAACTCTTTACTCATAGAGATGATCATGTCAGCATTAGGAAACAGATCATTTCTCACAACATTCCTCATCTGGTCCAACTTAGTCAACTGTAAAACAGTTCAAATTTCTCAACTAAATTTACAACGGATATTTGCATATACCATCTATAAAAAAGAAAATGATCAATTCATTAATCATTGAATGTTAAAGTAGTAAAAATTAGGAGTATGGTCGCACCTCGTAGATCCTGATGAGTGCCTCAAAACATGCCTTTGGGACCATGTCCCTCACGTATAGAAGAGGCTGCTGGATAATCTGAGTTAGTGATTCATGGAGTTTGACCCGACATAGATCAACATCTAATGGTCCGTACAGTCGCTCACTGAAGTTCATGTCCGAGTTATAGAGTACTTTAACATCTGATCCAACAAAACAAAGGAATTATGTAAAAAAATAATAAACAGAGAAAAAGTTTTCTATGAAAAGAGCTGAAGTAATATGTAATCAATTTCAAATAGACTTAAGAGAAGATCAATAAAAGCTCCATTTTTTTCTTTGTTTGTTTTGATTTTGTTTAACTCTATAAACTGATCCAATCAGATGTTTTTTTTTTTATCATACTCTGGTCTATCCTACAACACTGACCACAACCCTCTTAACGTCCTGACCGTATCCATGACCTAATTTGACCTCATTATTGACCAGACTTGACCCTGCCACTGTGCATCCCCACCACTTACCAGATTTCTCTGGCCTCGGTAGAGAGTTCCAAAGCGTCTTAATAGCACGTTGATGAAGGCCCTCTAACATGAACAAGTGCATCACGCCATCCATTACCTGAAACCCTGTCACAATGTTCAGTGTCCTGCTCTTTTGCTGTTCTCTGAGGACAGAAGATATTGTACGTTACCTCACCAGCCCTCTCTTAACCTGGTAACTAAGAAACCAGAAAAATTTGATTTTACACCATAGAAGTAGAAATATAATTGTATTACAAAGTGTACTTACAGAGACAATTTGTAAGTTGAAAGTGCTGCATTAATGACGTGCTGCGGCATGTCATCTAGCTCCAAAGCTTGAGCGTTGACCTCAGTAACTAAGTTCTGTAGCTGGTGGAGCAGGGTCGTGTTCTTGTAGTCAAATATGAATACAATCCTTCCAAATGGACACTACAATCAAGTACAGAAAAATGTATGTACATATGTGTACAGAAAGACTTGATTACATGTGTGTACAGAAAGACTTGATTACATGTGTGTACAGAAAGACTTGATTACATGTGTGTACAGAAAGACTTGATTACATGTGTGTACAGAAAGACTTAATTACATGTGTACAGGAAAATGTATGTACATGTGTGTACAGAAAGACTTGATTACATGTGTGTACAGAAAGACTTGATTACATGTGTGTACAGAAAGACTTGATTACATGTGTGTACAGAAAGACTTGATTACATGTGTGTACAGAAAGACTTGATTACATGTGTGTACAGAAAGACTTAATTACATGTGTACAGGAAAATGTATGTACATGTGTGTACAGAAAGACTTGATTACATGTGTGTACAGAAAGACTTGATTACATGTGTGTACAGAAAGACTTGATTACATGTGTACAGAAAGACTTGATTACATGTGTACAGGAAAATGTATGTGCATGTGTGTACAGAAAGACTTGATTACATGTGTGAGTACAGGAAAACATGTTTACAGGTGTGTACGGAAAGACTTGATTACATGTGTGTGTACAGGAAAACATGTTTACAGGTGTGTACAGAAAGACTTGATTACATGTGTGTGTACAGGAAAACATGTTTACAGGTGTGTACGGAAAGACTTGATTACATGTGTGTGTACAGGAAAACATGTTTACAGGTGTGTACGGAAAGTGTGTACTTGATTACATGTGTGTGTACAGTGAAAACATGTTTACAGGTGTGTACAGAAAGACTTGATTACATGTGTGTGTACAGGAAAACATGTTTACAGGTGTGTACGGAAAGACTTGATTACATGTGTGTGTACAGGAAAACATGTTTACAGGTGTGAGATGAAAGAATAGATAAAATGTGTGTGTACAGGAAAACATGTTTACAGGTGTGTACGGAAAGACTTGATTACATGTGTGTGTACAGGAAAACATGTTTACAGGTGTGTACAGAAAGACTTGATTACATGTGTGTGTACAGGAAAACATGTTTACAGGTGTGTACAGAAAGACTTGATTACATGTGTGTCTGTAGGAAAACATGTTTACAGGCGTGCAGGGAAATATGATTACATGTGTGTACAGGAAAACATGTTTACAGGTGTGCAGGAAAATATGACTACATGTGTGTACAGGAAAACATGTTTACAGATATGCAGGAAAATATGATTACATGTGTGTAAAGGAAAACATGTTTACAGGTGTGCAGGAAAATATGACTACATGTGTGTAAAGGAAAACATGTTTACAGGTGTGCAGGAAAATATGATTACAGAATTGCAATCTCTGGAAAGAAAAGAAAAACTGAACCAAAAAATGTTTCTTGTAAATGATGACATACCTGATATGCAAATATTCATATCTGCCTAAAACAAGGTCCATATCTGTATTTGTGCAGTATTTAATTTACTTATAATAGAGCATAACCTTTGACAGCAAATGATATGTCTGTTGTAAAAATTACCAATGATCAAATATGAAAATACTCCTGAATATAAATTGACTAATTATAGAGCAAAAAACATCTATATTGATAAAATCTAACCAATATCAGATATTTTACCTCTCGTGTAGACTCGATGGGTTCCCGAATAGCCACTTTGTCAGGATTGGTGAGGGGATGGGCAAGCTCTACCTTAATTTTCATCATCGTGTTGGAGCTAACATAGTGACCAGCTGATATAGGTCTGTCCACTACAAGTACAGTAGTAACTAGATTAAGATCACAATTAGACATTCACCAACAAATTTTTTAACCTTTATGACTGACTATCTGAAAATATACATATCACTTGTCAAAATGATCAATTTGAGTTTAGTCATTGGTAAACGTCTTGAAGAGAAACTGCTTACTATGATACAAAAAGTGAACTCCAAACAATAAAGATTGCATACCTGGCCCATCTACAGCTCCTGGGAAGCCGACCAGCTTGCCGTCACCACCTTCCTTGGAGCCGAGAACATCAGGGATACCACAGTTGTGTATTGGAACTTTGATATGAAGATACTTGTGACCAAGTAAGAGTTCAGACAGGTCCACCTTTGTTGTACCATAAGGATCCCATGGTTTGTTCCTACCCGTGAATGGATTGTGCAGGGTCCTTCGACCTGGCAATCAATGTAAGCTTAATGTTATTGTCTTTGATAGCAAAGTACACATCAGTTAAACAAACCAACTCTGACAGAGGTAATGTTGTTTTCTAATGAAACAGAGACCATCATTCTTATTGTCTTATTTATCAAATTATTCCACCAGAATTGAGATTGTGTTTGATGGGAGTACAGTGCTTACTGGTAATTTTCTTCCTGACAGCTAAGGCATCCTCTTGTGATATTTGTTACATAAATTGGCAATATATTATATCTAAATAAAGCTTCAAAAAAGAATGTTATAAATTTCAACAAGCAAAAGTGTTGAAAACAATATTTTGGAAATTCTACATCATAATGTGATGCAGGCGATGACTCTAAAGATTGTTAGAGTAACCTCCCCTTGACTTACTTGTAATGGTGCCGACATTGCTTATTTTTTCATCTTCCAAATCATCTCCAAACAGCGTTGGTTTGAGACGGACATCCTCCTCACGGCGATCTCGGTCATGTACCTCAATCTCAAGTGGGGGTCCATTCAAGTATTGGCGAAGCTCAGATGGATCAAGAGTACCTGTATCAAACCAGGTGAGTTTAGAATAGACTCCTAATCTGACAAACTTTGATCACCTTTAACAGGTACAGAATGATATCCCTGTCCCAACATCTGCAAACTACATACAATCTAACGTTTTAACCCTGACTTGGATGACCTTAAAATTTAATCTAAGGTAGAAAATACTACTACGATCAAATACATGCATATTCGATAAACTAAATTTGATATAAGAGTGTGAAATACTTTGAACACAAATATATTATCATGGAGAGATCTATGGCTGTTTAAATGTGATGCATGAGGTGTGACAAAATAAAATGTTTAGCTGTACCTCTATGCTTCCTTCAAGTAAGTGTCCAAAATGATGTTTATTTTATCATTGCACAAATAAATAAAAAGATTTAAAAGTTCACAAAAATTAAAAAAAAAACAACAAAAAAATCCACTACAAAGGCCTGTTATGATGAGTAAACCCACCAGTAAGTACAACATTGACGTCATCCCAGTAGATGTTCTGGCTATGTTCCCGCCCCGCACTCATATGAACAGGCTGTTTAAAGAATTCGTATTTACAGTAAACAGGTTTACATCTGAAAAGAAAATAACAGCAATTCAATTTAATGTTTATAAGTTCTGATTTTTTCCAAAGTATTCCAAATGACCTAGTTGTTATCTGAGGAAACAAGCAAATGAAATGTTCAAGAGACTATTGGAAAAAAAACTTCAGAATTATATCAAAGTGTCTCAGAATTGGTCATGACATGTCTTTGTTTGAATTTGCTACTGTCTATAAACCTTGATTGATACTTCTCCTTCACTCATTTCCAAATACAGCTCAATTTTATACTGGAGAAAATTTTACTGCAGTACTATTCAGTAATCAGTAGTGTTAGAGAAATATATACAAAAGTATTCTACTGAGAATAATGATATTTTTCCATCCAAAAAGGATTATTTTTTGCAGAAGCATTGGAATCCATAAGGTAATGTTTGACACTGTTATCTTATCACATAACGACTGATAGAACGATTTTAAATGACTGGGCATTACAATTTTAATGTTTTATGTTTTTATCTGATAAAAACTGCTCAGAAAACCAGTTATAGAAAGAATCTAATCTTTATCCAGTGTACATATAGCAAAGCTGAAGCAATACAACAGCCTCTTCTGCTGTAGTTTCACACACATCTGAACAGAAAATTCAGCAGATTTTCATTCGGTAATCCACTAACATTCTGACATGTCAATTAAAAAACTGATTTCTTACACACCATCACAGTGATAACTTGTGATGTGACACTAGTGAAAGCAATAACATGGTTGCATGGCTCACCTCATTTTGAGTTCAGGATAGCTAATTGGAGAGTCGGGGAGGTTGGTACATGAATGAATTTTGATTATCATTGGATTCAGTTCCATTTTCTGTTTCTCCGACATGATGGGTCCATCCACCTTAAGGCTAATAAAGCAATCTTCTACTCCTAGTACAGGCTCAGCAAGACGGCTTGTTAGACTCTTTACACCTGTAAACACAGTTCACCATATAAGGTATCTCTAAAGTTAACATTAATGACCTTGACCTTGGGCACTTGTTAGACAGATATTGCACATCTTACATGTAACAATTTATCATCATGTGTCCAATTTCAGGAATTTTAGACACCTGGATTCTGAGATGACTACGCAGACAGATGGACAAACAGATGGACAAATAAATGTACTGGGATTACACAGTATGAGCATGTTAGTTCCAGAACTTTACCGTTTAACACAATGTCCAGCTCACTGATACAGTTAACATAGATTGAAGTTAATTCTACATGATATGCAAATTCAGGATTCTTGATATACAATAGAAGTGTTTGTTCTGAAGTACCTGTGAAGAAGTTGGCCATTCTGACAGGAATCATGCATGTTCCAAACTTGAATATGAGGTCAGCAGCCTGCTGGGCGGCCAGTTGGGCAGCGTCGGATTTCTTTTGTCGCTTAAGCCTCTGGATTTCCTTCAATGCCTCAACCTTTGATCCTGTAACATGTTAAAACGAATGTTTTGTAAGTTGCTAGAACTTGCTTCTGACCCACTTATCTAATACTGATAATAAAATATGTTTAAATCAAAAGGAATGTTTATTTCTTGTCATCATTTTTTGTTTTTTAGCAACAATTGTAACACAATAACTGAAAATCAGTCTTACCTTAGAAGCACTGTAGTTTAAATTGAGGTGTATCATACTGAACTTCAGAAAATGAGATTCTGTTATGTTTTGTACGTAAACCATAAGGACATCTGGACTGATAGAGAAATACATGATATCAGTCACCTCCTGAACAGCTAGATTAATTAGAGTCTCATAGTAGTAGCTGGTGGCTATCTCCCTGAACATCATGTGGGAGGCACATAACTTGCTATTCTGGACAGTTGAGGTATACCAACTAGTTGATGCATGTATGTAATGTACAACCACAAAAACAAAGGACAGTCTGTGATGTAACAGCTCTCTCAGAAACACAAACTCATTGGTATGGATTACACCACAAACCTTGGACATTTTACCTGAGAATGTCTCAGTCTAACGCTCTGCTGACTGAGCTATTTTGACTTCTGCGGTACTTGTTGGGTTATAAGGGTAACCCATGAAAGTCCCTGGACCTGTGGTGTATTGTCACCAGTAACACTGACATCAGTAGTGTACCATGCTTGTATATAATGACAGTAGAATTTTTTGACCAAAAAGTTAGTCAAGGTTTATTTCCATAAAGTATTTAAATTTATAGCCAAAAGAAAACATTACAATTCCTTCTTTACCTTTCACCTACTCTGAACTCTGACCCTTAATATCCTCTGACCATATGTTTATATGATGTAGTATCTCTGCCCTGACCTATGACATACCAACTGATTCAGCTGACTTGGCATTTCGTCCAGAAGGTGATGCATTCTTTTCCTCTTTTGCTTTTTGTTTGGAAGAATGTGATTTTTGACTCATCTTGTCAGAGCTCATCTTGCTGTGCACTGAGTCCCTACCTCTTGGGGAGGAAGCAGGCGCAGGGTCGGCTCCTGCTAGTCGCCCTAGTCGACTGAAGGACCCTCTGTAAGGAAAAAAAATCATTATATTGGTATTGAGCAATGGATCCCTTGCTCCTCTAAAATTCAAATAACACAAAGTTACCACACTTTCTATTGTTTGCCAAAGTCATTATATACGGAATAACATAAGTCTGAATCCTACCTGCCATCTTGTGAGTCAAGTTTCTTATTGGATACACCCACTAGAGTTTTAGGGGTTGGCGACTCAGCTCTACCCTTTGGAGATGCTGGCTTCTCGGGTTCTTTCTTTTCTGCAACAAATACAAAAATATTTCAAGAGAGATTCAGATCCAAGTTATCAGCCTGCTGTGTCTTGTGCTTTTTTCTTCTTTGACCATCTTGTAATGTTAAGTACTCAATGGTTTCAAAGAATGCTTGTCAGTTATATCAAATAATAAAATATATCCCATTCTTTTAAATGCATACTTATCTACTAGGAGTTTAAATCTATAGACAAGGTTTGTACAAAAGGACCCAAAGTGTGAAAATAAACATAATGTGCTACGAGGAAAATCAAACTTAACTTGAACACTGTACAAAATACACACAGGAGAATAGCACCTTTCAATACAAATTTAGAATTAGAACTTGATCATACAGCTGATTCACCCGTCAAGGATTCATCAGCAATGCTAATAACCTAAATTGTTGAATTAGAACTTTATCATACAGCTTTAGAACTTTATCATACAGCTGATTCAACCGTCAAGGATTCATCAGCAATGCTAATAACCTAAATTGTTGAATTAGAACTTTATCATACAGCTGATTCACCCGTCAAGGATTCATCAGCAATGCTAATAACCTAAACTGTTGAATTAGAACTTTATCATACAGCTTTAGAACTTTATCATACAGCTTTAGAACTTTATCATACAGCTTTAGAACTTTATCATACAGCTTTAGAACTTGATCATACAGCTGATTCACCCGTCAAGGATTCATCAGCAATGCTAATAACCTAAACTGTTGAATTAGAACTTTATCATACAGCTTTAGAACTTTATCATACAGCTGATTCAACCGTCAAGGATTCATCAGCAATGCTAATAACCTAAATTGTTGAATTAGAACTTTATCATACAGCTGATTCAACCGTCAAGGATTCATCAGCAATGCTAATAACCTAAATTGTTGAATTAGAACTTTATCATACAGCTTTAGAACTTTATCATACAGCTTTAGAACTTTATCATACAGCTTTAGAACTTTATCATACAGCTTTAGAACTTTATCATACAGCTTTAGAACTTTATCATACAGCTGTTTCACCCGTCAAGGACTCATCAGCAATGCTAATAACCTAAACTGTTGAATTAGAACTTTATCATACAGCTTTAGAACTTTATCATACAGCTTTAGAACTTTATCATACAGCTGTTTCACCCGTCAAGGACTCATCAGCAATGCTAATAACCTAAACTGTTGAATTAGAACTTTATCATACAGCTTTAGAACTTTATCATACAGCTTTAGAACTTTATCATACAGCTTTAGAACTTTATCATACAGCTTTAGAACTTTATCATACAGCTGATTCACTCGTCAAGGATTCATCAGCAATGCTAATAACCTAAACTGTTGAATTAGAACTTTATCATACAGCTTTAGAACTTTATCATACAGCTTTAGAACTTTATCATACAGCTTTAGAACTTTATCATACAGCTTTAGAACTTTATCATACAGCTTTAGAACTTTATCATACAGCTTTAGAACTTTATCATACAGCTTTAGAACTTTATCATACAGCTTTAGAACTTTATCATACAGCTGATTCACCCGTCAAGGATTCATCAGCAATGCTAATAACCTAAATTGTTGAATTAGAACTTTATCATACAGCTGATTCACCCGTCAAGGACTCATCAGCAATGCTAATAACCTAAATTGTTGAATTAGAACTTTATCATACAGCTGATTCACCCGTCAAGGATTCATCAGCAATGCTAATAACCTAAATTGTTGAATTAGAACTTTATCATACAGCTGATTCACCCGTCAAGGACTCATCAGCAATGCTAATAACCTAAATTGTTGAATTAGAACTTTATCATACAGCTGATTCACCCGTCAAGGACTCATCAGCAATGCTAATAACCTAAATTGTTGAATTAGAACTTTATCATACAGCTGATTCACCCGTCAAGGACTCATCAGCAATGCTAATAACCTAAATTGTTGAATTAGAACTTTATCATACAGCTTTAGAACTTTATCATACAGCTGATTCACCCGTCAAGGATTCATCAGCAATGCTAATAACCTAAATTGTTGAATTAGAACTTTATCATACAGCTGATTCACCCGTCAAGGACTCATCAGCAATGCTAATAACCTAAATTGTTGAATTAGAACTTGATCATACAGCTGATTCACCCGTCAAGGATTCATCAGCAATGCTAATAACCTAAATTGTTGAATTAGAACTTTATCATACAGCTTTAGAACTTTATCATACAGCTGATTCACCCGTCAAGGATTCATCAGCAATGCTAATAACCTAAATTGTTGAATTAGAACTTTATCATACAGCTTTAGAACTTTATCATACAGCTGTTTCACCCGTCAAGGGGAGAGAAGGAAGAACAAACATGGGCATAAGAAATGTCAAAATCCAGGAGGGGCACTAACCCTGGAATTCTATCATTTTCATCAACTTCAATATTAAATGATAAAAAAAAATATAAAGTAAAAGTGTATGTTCTGAACAATGTCACTTGAATGAATGAAAACGTGACATGCAGATTATAGCAAAACTTCCGGACTAAAATTCACGATAGTCTCGCTTACAATCTCAAAAACTGTAGAATGACACACAAGCAAACTTTGGAGGACTTAATAACACATGTTATACATGCATTATAGACAGTGAATAGCAGCTAGTATTTTAACAGGGCTACATGTCATGATAGACCATGATTCCACATCATACTCTATGGCAATATAAGTCTCCAAAAAATCAGATACAAACCTTCTTTCCGTCTGGTGGAAAATGTTACTTGAGTTGGAATGGCACGGGTATCTTGGCACTTCTTGGGCTGCATCTTCGTGTAGCTCTTGGACTGACGTAAAACTATCCCCTTCACACCTTTCTTCTCCTCCTCACCTAATAAAAATCATAATGTAACAATTATATCTTTTGTTACAATAAAGTGTTGCATGACCCAGCAACCGACTGGAAGGGGTTGTCTAACTGAACCTTGGGGGCATCTTTTTACTTTTGGGAAAGGTTTTCCGAATCAGGAAGGGGTTGTCTAACTGAACCTTGGGGGCATCTTTTTACTTTTGGGAAAGGTTTTCCGAATCAGGAAGGGGTTGTCTAACTGAACCTTGAGGCATTTTTTTACTTTTGGGAAATGTTTTCTGAATTTGGGGAGGTGATTTCTAACTCTGGAGGAAAAGGGTTTATAACTTAGCAGAATGGTTTTAAAATGCAAAACTCTGGTAGGCATCTCTAAAATCAAGACAGTCTACAGTCTTGATCAAAAGCTTCATGATGATTGGTTTATATTATATAAATGTAAATAGATTTCATGATGATTGGTTTATATTATATAAATGTAAATAGATTTCATGCATCACAACATTTTATAAATAGAATCAATCATTAATACTTTTCATATCGTACAATGTAAAGAAAAATTGTCTTGTATAACAGTAGTGACTGCTGGTAGACTTCTTACTCTTTATATTACAGTGCATAAATTAACAACAAGAGACATGTTATCACTCAATATCTACAAAATACATCACATTACCATGCACAAATAACTGATAGTGATCACCATCTACTGTAATCAATACAAGCAGTTTCACTACTACATGTACTATAGCTGATACAAAACAAAACCCAAGACATTCACTAGAATAAACCCTGATATTCACCAATAATGATATCCCAGATATTCACCAATAATGATATCCCAGATATTCACCAATAATGATATCCCAGACATTCACCAATAATGATATCCCAGACATTCACCAATAATGATATCCCAGATATTCACCAATAATGATATCCCAGACATTCACCAATAATGATATCCCAGACATTCACCAATAATGATATCCCAGATATTCACCAATAATGATATCCCAGATATTCACCAATAATGATATCCCAGATATTCACCAATAATGATATCCCAGATATTCACCAATAATGATATCCCAGATATTCACCAATAATGATATCTCATACATTCACCAATAATGATATCCCAGACATTCACCAATAATGATATCCCAGATATTCACCAAGAACGTCCCAGACATTCACTAGGATAATCCCTGGCATTCACCAATAATGATATCTCAGACATTCACCAAGGATATCCCAAACATTCACCAAAAAACATCCCAGACATTTGCTGAGAATATCCAAAATATTCATCAAAATTATCTTAGACATTCACCTAGGACATAACAGACATTCACCTAGGTCATACAGACATTCACCTAGGACATAACAGACATTCACCTAGGACATAACAGACATTAAGACATTGATAACGATAATTTCTATTTTTGTTGGCACATTACTATTAATGGAAAACTGAAGTATACCACTAAGGTACAAATTAACATGTGTCACTCTGATTCAAAAAACTTTTCTTTTTTTTTTATTTCACACAGACTGCAATTTATGTTGGACCATCGGTAATGGCTCAGTGTCTAGTTTATCAAAATCCTTTATTCACAAAAAGTAAACGTAAGCCATGAAAAGATATTCAAATCAATTTTTCAATATTTCTAGGTGTGACTGAAAACTCTACAATAATAAATGTGTGCATTATTTTTTTCCAGAGAGGATGAACATGCAATGTAACAGAGTGACAAACAGCATGCAAACAACTACTTGAGCTAAGATAGTCACAATGAGATAGGAGCCACGTGATTCCTCTGTAGTGTATCAACATTAACAAACCACAAGAACTAAACATGTAACATACTCATTTTCAAGAAATTTTCTTTTTCGTCATAACTCATTGCTTGTTCTGAAATAAAATCATGTTAATGACAGAATTATGATAAGTTTGTTAGGAAACACAAAAAGTTTTACACAATAATACACATAATATTAACAAAAATTATTAACAAGAGATCCAAGGGGGATCTTGGCACCCACGATTGCTTAATCTTTATATGCTCTTTGAAAGTTGACTCTTTTCCCTTCTTTTCTCCTCTCTTCTTTGTTTTTGCTCTTACTGATAAGACATTTGAACATTCCTTTGCAGAAATAGCAACAAGCCGTCTGGTGGCCATTTTGTTTTCCTGATCAGTCCCAAAATCAAATGAGCACAAGGAGAGACCAAAAGGAACATACATATGAAATTTGAGAGACATCCTTCAGTACTTCTTAAGAAATAGCAATAAAAATCTTTACTATGCAAAATTCAAGATGGCTGCCTGTCAGCCATTTTGTTTTTCTGATCAGTCCCAAACTCACACCGCTACAACTAAGGACTTTAAGGAACATACACATGAAATTTGAGGAAGATCTATAAAAGACTTCTCAAGAAACAGTGCTATCAAACTTGCAAGCTCGAAATCCAAGTTGGCCGCCTTTCGGCCATTTTGTTTTTCTCATCACATCCTAAATCAAATGGGCACAACTGGACACCAAGGGAAACCTACATATGAAATTTAAGAAAGATCCATCCTGTACTTCTCAAGAAATAGCAATAAAAAACTTGGCTGCATGTCGGTCATCTTGTTTTTTCTATCAGTCTTAAAATCAAATGGGCACCACTAGGAACAATCTGATGATGGTGGGCTAAAAATAAAAAAACTGAGGATATGAACCAAAGCTTAATATGAGAATTTCTGTCAGAGAGGATATAAGCTGACCTGAGATTACTAGTAATTTTATAGGATATATACACTTTTCACTAGCGGCAGTTTTAGTTATCACTGTTGTAAGTAATATAGGTTAGTGTTATCATGACTCGGTTTTACTGAAGGGAACCTAGTTATTGTAAACTGATGACAGATATTCATGGAAATGGTGATGTATGTTACCTGGTTTTGTGGAGGGCAGTTTGAAGTTCAGAGGTCGATCCCACCTGGCACTGGTGCTGAGTTTGGTGTTCACTTTACTGTTTGTCTTCATCTTATCCGTCTCGTCCCAAATCCGCAACTCCACAGTGTGGTTGAACAGCTTCATTAAGAGATCACGAGTAACATTGACTGTGTTACTGAAAAAGTCACAAAATCAGTCACTACCCCAGGAAACATTAATGATTATACTGAAAAAGTCACAAAATCAGTCACTACCCAAGGAAACATTAAAGATTATACTGAAAAAGTCACAAAATCAGTCACTACCCCAGGAAACATTAACGATTATACTGAAAAAGTCACAAAATCAGTCACTACCCCAGGAAACATTAACGATTATACTGAAAAAGTCACAAAATCAGTCACTACCCCAGGAAACATTAACGATTATACTGAAACAGTCACAACACAGTTACACTGCTGTCTTAGAGAATATCTACAGTGTTACTAAAACAGTAACAAAGCAATGACACTGCTGTCTCAGGGAATATTTACAGCGTTACTTAAACAGTCACAAAACAGTTACACTGCTGTCTCAGGGAATATCTACAGTGTTACTTAAACAGTAACAAAGCGATGACACTGCTGTCTCAGGGAATATTTAGTGTTACTTAAACAGTCACAAATCCATGACACTGCTGTCTCAAGGAACATTGACAGTGTTAATTACTAAAACAGTAACGACAATTACACAGCTGTCTCAGGAATCATTGACTAATGCTATGGATACTGAAATAGTAACAAAAAACTTATAATGTCTGCTACCCAATAATAACATACATGAAAAATGATTTTTGTACGTCTCTAAAAGTGTTATACAAAAACAGACACCCAACAACTTTAAAATTTCTAGTACATACTTTTCAATCCAACTTATCCATGTGAGGTCACCTTCCTGCCAGGTCCTCAGCACCCTGGAGTCATGTTCTGTGAAAATCTTTACAGCAGGCCCATAGGAAACTACATCAGATTTGATAAGCTCTTCTTCATCAGGAAGGAGATAGTACTCTATGTGGTACCATCTCTGTGGACGTGGCTTCTCTATCATCCTCTTCTCCTTCTTTACCATGTCCTTCATGTCTGGCTGATCTTCATCTGATTAACACAATGTTTCATTTATCTCTGGTATTCAAATTTTTTTTATGAATTACACTCACTCATGTTAAAGTTGGACATATAATGAACACAATTTAAAGTGAATTTTTCACAATTCAAAGAAAAATGGAATGATCAACCAATGAGACAGAAAAACATTGATGAACAAAGTCTAACAAGGAGACAGAAAAACATTGATGAACAAAGTCTAACAACGAGACAGAAAACATTTGATGAACAAAGTCTAACAACGAGACAGAAAACATTTGATGAACAAAATCTAACAACAAGACAGAAAACATTTGATGAACAAAATCTAACAACGAGACAGAAAACATTTGATGAACAAAATCTAACAACAAGACAGAAAACACTTGATGAACAAAATCTAACAATGAGACAGAAAACATTTGATGAACAAAATCTAATAACGAGACAGAAAACATTTGATGAACAAAATCTAACAACAAGACAGAAAACACTTGATGAACAAAATCTAACAACGAGAAAGAAAACATTTGATGAACAAAATCTAACAACGAGACAGAAAACATTTGATGAACAAAATCTAACAACGAGACAGAAAACATTTGATGAACAAAATCTAATAACGAGACAGAAAACATCTGATGAACAAAATCTAATAACGAGACAGAAAACATTTGAACAAAATCTGACAACGAGACAGAAAATATTTGATGAACAAAATCTAACAACGAGACAGAAAACATTTGGTGAACAAAATCTAACAACGAGACAGAAAACTTTTGATGAACAAACAAACATAACAGGGTACATGTTTTTTTTCTGTAAGTAGTGGTAGATGATTACGACAATTTGTAAAAGATGGGTTAATGAAATATGAATGAGTTTGAATAATGGTAAAACTGTTGACAACATCTTGCACATTCTGAGGACTGAGCAGATCTAGTATAATATTCTGTTAACTTGTATACGTAGATCTCAAATTTTATCAATAAAGACAGCTCAATAAATACATCTATAAACATGTTTGATATCTAATGATAAAAATGTTTATTAGAAAAAACAAAGTAATTTGTCATTCATCTCATTTTAATATTTTGAATGATAAGTATATACATTCCGTAAATATATATCTGTGTGAGGATTTAAGCAACTTCTATGTAAATAAAAGAAAAGTGAAAAATGGTGAAACTTCTACTGTATCTGCTCTATGTGTTACTTCTATGTGTTTTATACCATTGTCACCAAGTTCAACTTACCATGATACAAATATACAGACCAACTAATAAAGAAGGTAGGAACTTTTCATATACACATGTACACATGAATGTGTGTACTGTATCTGATCATGCCAGCCATTACTTGTAGCAAAAAATTCACTGAAGAAGTTAATAGTAATCAGACTATTATGAAGATCCAAGAAAGTATGAAATGTAGTTTGACCTTTGATTATTTGCCTTGACCTTGACATATTGGGTACATAACAAATGTATCAAAACACATCAAATATTTATAAAGGTGCATCTGTATTGTAATATTACTAAAAATATGAAGTTCATCTAGTTTAGTATTGACCTTTGGCTTATTGCACTGACCTTGACCTTTGAAAACATCAAATAAACCTAATGATGATATCTACAACAATTCTGCAAAAAAGACTGATTCTCTTTTACTCTTTTTTTACAAAACATGGTGGTGATTTACCACTTAACCATGGACAGAGTATTTGAGAGAGTTAGGAACAAATAATTCACAAATATATTTGTGACTTGGTTTCATAAAAATTCAGAACTAGAAAATATATTTTCCTAATGAAGCGTACACTGAGCATCCTTTATACATTATCTGTACTAGACTGGTGAGACTCAGGCAAGTGAGATATTTAGATAAAAACATCCATCAAAAATGATAAAAACACAATGTAAGTGAGATATTGTTACACACAACCTGTCGGCCTATAACACAGTAATACAACACACAAGCATACAGACACAGCAACAGCACTGACTCATTGGAAAAATAAAGTCTTTGAATTTATCGCAGGAATTGAAGTTAACACCATTACAAGGCTCTTACAAGATTTCTAAATCTAAGACAAGATCATATTGACCTGAGACTGGGTTGATAAACCCTGATATTAACCTCAGCCTAAGGACAGAATGGTACACCAGCCTATACATTAAGATGATATTGATATGATATTAAGATATTAATGATATAAGTAATTCAAGGCACTAGAGAAGAGATTAGTTTAACAATACATTTGACACTGGTCATTAAAAGAACTTTAAATGTCAATAAAAACTTCCTGATGATGTAAAATTTACATGTAAAACACATCAAACACATCTAATATAAAAAATATATGATCAGGAAAACAAAGAATTTCTATGTAAAATGTCAAAATCAAATTTAGTCTGATAGGACAATACAAGTGGAAGTAACATGCAACCAACTAGAACATGCAGCCAAAATGTGACAATTGCAGCCAACTATTGAAATAAAATAAATAGCTCCTTGTGACAATCACATTATGTCAGTGAAGACAACAGACGGGAAGTGAAGGCCTACCAATGGTGTTTTTAGAGTTAGCCAGTAGTAAAAGTCGACTATAGGGCCCTGTAGTGCTTGGAGTGGGATTCACCACACTGGAGCACTCAGACTCTACATCTGAAACACGCATATTGGCATGCACATTTGAATGATATTTTTTCAAGTTTGTAGTTGAAATTTTGATTAATACAGTGTTTTAGATCACACAACCTGAAAGAAAAGATTTAAAAAAAAACTAAATGTTATAGTGTCCTAATTTCTCAATAGATTTTGTACACATTTTCATATCATCTGTCACACACATCACCCTTAAAATATTGATATCTAATCATAGATATATAAATGTTCAATTCATTGATTAAGATTTAACAAACTGAAGAAAATTAACTTGATAAGGCATGTATCCAAATCTATAACTATAAACTGATCATTTTGACAACTGTAAAACAATTTGTTCGATGGTGGCAGATCCTAGGATGGATACCTAATGGAACTTAAAGAGTTCTCTCCTAGTATTCATTTTTATGATGTGTTAGGGTCAGTTGGGGTCATTGACATAAACAACTGCCATTCTGGCCTCAAATACAAATGACTTTACAGATGGTTATAATGTCACATGTATATTTATATGTTTATTCATTTCTAAGGGGGAAAAAAGGGTAGAAAAAGGATCATTCCCTACTTTGAGGGTAGGACAGAGAAATCCCTACCCTCAGAAGAAATTCTTGACAGACTAACCCTCAGCAAAGCCTCTGGTTCGACAATCAAGAATCTCCTCCTCGGGTAGAGATTTCACTACCCTCCAGCTAGGAAAAGATCCTATTAATCTATGTCAATCATAGAAAAAAACACTTATTCCTATTAATAAAATCTCAAAATCTATGCAATAACGATAAAGAAAATACAAACAAATAAACAAACCACAATCAAATTCACTGAAATGAGGAAAAATATGAGCAAATGTTTACATGCGAACCTCCTGAAAAAGTTCACAGAGAATAAGACAAGGAAGTTTCTTCTGATTCATTGACAACACCTACCATGTAAATCCTGGTCAATCTCCAAGTTAAGTAATGTCATGTTCCCGAATAAGAACAAGGTAAACAACAGTGTATACTAATGAACATCCAAACATGTCCAACTTTATGTCACACAAGGACTGCTTCGATTTTGTAAAATTTTACCAACTTTAATGAAATGTCATGATTGTGTCACAAAAGTCAGTTATAGTTAGAGTCCTGAAGATCCTTGGTGTGGGTCACCCTCAGATCCTGGTGAGAAGGAGGACATGTTAGAATCAGCTTAATCCAAGACAGAGGTGTCAAATGTTCCAGAAAGTGGCAACAGTCATGTTGTGTAACAGATAGCTTACAAGTGTCCGGGAAGAGAGGACAATACCCAGACAATTCGGATAATGATATTCCGGGGAATCAATATGCATGGCATGTCACTATGAGAGGAAATGTTCTTGTAGAAAAATCAATGTTCATGATCACCATATGAATACAAATAAGCTACCAATGCAATTACTGTATTGATTTGTGAATAATGTCGGAAGATCCAAAACTGTTGATGTGTTTTCCACTGTTCTAATGTGGCACATGATGCTGGATGAGGCTGTCACACACAGTTCTAAGCTAACACCTATCACACACATTTTAACACCCAAGTGTTTTAGATGTAACCATAATCACAGGAGTTCAAACATCATCCTTCTACTGACAGAAATTTCCTCATCATTTGAATAGGACTCCTCCTCTTTTACTGACAATATTTTAACACCTCTCAGTTTAAACACCTCTCCCCACTGACATTAAGTCACCCCTTTTACTGACAATACTTTAACACCTCTCAGTTTAAACACCTCTCCCCACTGACATTAAGTCACCCCTTTTACTGACAATATTTTAACACCTCTCAGTTTAAACACCTCTCCCCACTGACATTAAGTCACCCCTTTTACTGACAATACTTTAAACACCTCTCAGTTTAAACACCTCTCCCCACTGACATTAAGTCACCCCATTTTAATGACAATACTTTAACACCTCTCAGTTTAAACACCTCTCCCCACTAATATCAAGTTCCCCTTTTACTGACAATATTTTAACACCTCTCCACCTCTCCCCACTGACATACTTTAAACACCTCTCAGTTTAAACACCTCCCCCACTTATCAAGTTCCCCTTTTACTGACAATATTTTAACACCTCTCAGTTTAAACACCTCTCAGTTTAAACACCTCTCCCCACTGACATTAAGTCACCCCTTTTACTGACAATACTTTAAACACCTCTCAGTTTAAACACCTCTCCCCACTAATATCAAGTTCCCCTTTTACTGACAATATTTTAACACCTCTCAGTTTAAACACCTCTCCCCACTAATATCAAGTTCCCCTTTTACTGACAATATTTTAACACCTCTCAGTTTAAACACCTCTCCCCACTAATATCAAGTTCCCCTTTTACTGACAATATTTTAACACCTCTCAGTTTAAACACCTCTCCCCACTAATATCAAGTTCCCCTTTTACTGACAATATTTTAACACCTCTCAGTTTAAACACCTCTCCCCACTGACATTAAGTCACCCCTTTTACTGACAATACTTTAAACACCTCTCAGTTTAAACACCTCTCCCCACTAGTTCCCCTTTTACTGACAATAATTTAACACCTCTCAGTTTAAACACCTCTCCCCACTGACATTAAGTCACCCCTTTTACTGACAATACTTTAAACACCTCTCAGTTTAAACACCTCTCCCCACTAATATCAAGTTCCCCTTTTACTGACAATAATTTAACACCTCTCAGTTTAAACACCTCTCCCCACTGACATTAAGTCACCCCTTTTACTGACAATACCTAAACACTTCTCTGTTTAAACATTTCCTTTTTTACTGACAATGTTCCAATACCTCTCCTCACTGACACAATGTTCCCTCTTTTACTGTCAAACTGGACAATATGCATCTTCTTATATTGTCATCAGCAAATAGTGTGACTGTATTTACTAATAACCAAGTCCTAGTCATGATCTCTTTACTGAACAAACTCTAGCCCCACCCACCCACACATTAACCCATCCAAGTCTCTATCACTCTACTGAAATTAAACTCTAGCCCCCTACATCTCATCCTACCACCCTCATCCTGGTCTTTGTCTCTCTAACAAAATTAGATTCCATCACTAGCCTCTACCCCTATCCTTCTATCCCCATCCTGGTCTCTATCTTGATCTTTCCAACAAAATTAAAATCTAGTCCACTACCTCCATCCTTCCATTCCCATCCTGTCTCTCTAACAAAATTAGATTCTAGCCCCCTACATCTCATCCATCCACCCTCATCCTGGTCTTTGTCTCTCTAACAAAATTAGATTCTAGCCCCCTACATCTCATCCTACCACCCTCATCCTGGTCTTCATCTCTCTACTGAAATTTAACTCTATTCCCATGCCAACCTCCCAATCCATTCTCCAACCCCTAACCCCAACCCCACCTCTGGGTTTGATCTCTCAACTGAAATCAAACTCTCACCTCCCCTACCCCCTGTCTTGATCTCTCAACAGAAATTAAACTCTCACCTCCCCTACCCCCAGTCTTCATTTCTCAACTGAAATTAAACTCCAGCCCCAACCCCTAACACAAATTATTTAAATGTTATATCCTGTGAGAATGATACATTAAATCATATGGTACTTTTCACAAGGTACCTGTCATTCCCCAGGTTTTTTTTCTACAGATAATTCCTGCAGATCAATATGAATGCTGAACTGAGCATATGTGTGTTAATATAATGGCCATTTAATGGAAAATGATTGAACAGTATTCTCTGATGAATGATTAATGAGATTACAATGGAGTCTGACATGCAAACTGATGTTGTGTATTACAGAGAACTGTAGCCACTGGTACTGTCGATCACCTACAGATACTCGACGTAGTTTTAATACCTACCCAGCATGCAAGCAATCATTACCAATAAATGTTAACAGTGGTACAGGTGGGAATACCCAGCAATAGCTGTAATGATTGGGTGTCAATTATCATATCACATAATAATCAAGTGCACATGCCATATCTCAGGGATCAGTACAGGTAAGGGAAATAATGTCATATCTAGGATAATTTGGGGATACCTGGTGAACATAGAATCTTACACGAGTTTCAATTTGTGATTTATGAATGGAGTCAAAAGATTTTTTTAAAGGCACATTAAAACGAAAAATTTGTGATGAGTTTCATAATTCACACATTTAATAGAAACAAATTTTTTGAATTTCCTTTTTATCAAGTGATCAATCATTCAGGCAAATATTGTAAAAAAAAACAGACCTTTCCACGTCAAACTTAAGGTCATTTTGGCCATTTATCTATGGTCTCCATTGTTAGCTCAAAATATAATTTGTAAATGTGTATCTCACTATCTAAACCTGACATCACAACAGGCTACCAAGGTATATCAAATGTCTTATTCACTAAATAACAATTAAGACAGTCACATGATAAATTAGGAAAGGATTATCTAAGTAGTCCTAAGTACATGCTGTATAAAGGTTAGTTAGTGAAGATACCTTGTGTAGGATGACTAATATTAATGGTTTCTACCAACTTATACCATTTATACCAAATAAATGAAGATGCATGCCTCAATATTCTAACAAAATGTGTCAGTGTCCTCATAGAAATACTGGATAATCTGCTAAACTATAGAAGTATTTTCCTAAACAGTAAACAATATATCAAAAATGAAAAATTAAAGGGAAGATCACTTAATATTTTCAGATTTCAGGTTGACCATGGGGGAATGTAGATTGTGACTTCAGTTTGTATACCATGGGGGTATGTAGATTGTAACTTCAGGTTGTACACTATGGGGGAGTGTAAATTGTGACTTGAGGTTGTATACAACATGGGTATGTAGTTTGTGACTTGAGGTTGTGTACCACATGGGTATGAAGATTGTGACTTCAGGTTGTATACCACAAGGTATGTAGATTGTGACTTCAGGTTGTATACCACATGGGTATGAAGATTGTGACTTCAGGTTGTATACCACATGGGTATGAAGATTGTGACTTCAGGTTGTGTACCACATGGGTATGAAGATTGTGACTTCAGGTTGTATACCACATGGGTATGTAGTTTGTGACTTCAGGTTGTATACCACATGGGTATGTAGTTTGTGACTTCAGGTTGTATACCACATGGGTATGAAGATTGTGACTTCAGGTTGTATACCACATGGGTATGTAGTTCGTGACTTCAGGTTGTATACCACATGGGTATGTAGTTTGTGACTTCAGGTTGTATACCACATGGGTATGAAGATTGGGACTTCAGGTTGTGTACCACATGGGTATGAAGATTGTGACTTCAGGTTGTATACCACATGGGTATGTAGTTCGTGACTTCAGGTTGTATACCACATGGGTATGTAGTTTGTGATTTGAGGTTGTATACCACATGGGTATGTAATTTCTATATTCATTGTTGTTTCTAATCAGTATTTACATCAATGTTAATGAAGTACTGTTTGGCACTAGTGGAAAAATATTACCAAAAATCAACACTTACACTATTTAAAAATATTATTCGATGGAGTGAAAATACAAAAAACTTTATACCTTATTCATATTTTGTTTCATTTCAAAGTTTCAAAGACACATAAATTCAGTAAAAAAATGCATGCACCAAATGGCATGTTGTTTCAGAATTTTCTCTAAGAAAATGTTAACAAAACTCTATCATAGATATTGGTGATACTAGTTATATTAATATGCATAGACAAAGGTTAATTAAGAAATAAACAAAAAACTTAATCAAACACACATATTTTAAAAGCATGTATAGTACTTAATATCAACTAAGGCTATAAGCTACATCATTTTAAGATGCCTTAACTAAGCTAAATTGTAAATAACTAAATAAAGGTGTTATCTATATAATCCAGGCTGGTAGTGTAAGAAAAGATAAGTAATGATGTATTCTCACTATTGAGAATTTACACCAAAATATACAGAAACATACAACCAGGAAATTTAAACAATTTAAATATCAGAAAACCTACCATGAACAAGAATGGCTGAAAATGAATGAAGAAAAAATGAAAGTGATTAGTTATTAGATATGAATAAAACTTTCACATGCAGTTAACATGTACACAACATGGGATTTGGTGACACACTTGAAGATTAACACTATATCAGACATGCTTCATTGATGCGTATCAGTGGTTAATTAATGAGGAACCTTTACTTGTTATTTATATTATGGTTATTTACATTTTTTTTTCAAAAAAGCATGCTTTTAGAAAAAACAAATTATCATGGTCTTCATATTTATCATAATTCAATCTTAAACACCTACATTTGTTATCAAACTGTCTTTTTTGAATAACCATGAGTGATGTTAATTTTTTTTAAAATATGCTGATTAATTACTTTTTTCAAATAATCAAACCATGCTATTTTAGCTGTCAAGTGATATGCTGCATGTTGTAAATAGACATATAAGACTCACCTGTTGGGACGGCCATTGATATAGTCACTGTAATGGTGACAATATGAGCATCTGGATCTACAACTATTTTCTTCTTTCTCTTTCCCTTTGCCGACACAAACACTCCCCCAGACCCACTACTCTTTGGTCTTTCTGAACTTTTTGGTTCGGAATCTGATTGCTTGTTGGGTAGTTCATCTGGAACAGAGTCTGTTGCTTCTGTCACTTCTGCTGGTTTTCCATTTTCTGTTTTTTCAGTGACAGTTTCATCCTGTTTAATTTTCTGTTCACTGTCTTCATTCAGAGTTCCAGCACCACCTTCTTCTGAAACAACAGGTGCATCTGCCATCACAGGTAAGTCTGTTGCCACAGGTGGGTCAGCCACAACAGGTGGATCAGCCACAACAGGTGGCTCCTGTTCTGTGTCTGCCATATATGGTCTTTCAACTGAAACATTAGATAGTTTTATCAATAACAGTTTGAAACTATCAATCTAATCAGCTTTATAAATAGATCATTTATATCTGTCAATGTTGTCTGTTTTCCCTCTTCTTTTAACACTTATGTATTTATTGTGAGCAATCTATAGTCCAAAAGAAGAAAGAAAGAAGGTAATTTTCCAAAATTTTGCATGCGTAAGGTTTGTGCAGGGCATAATAAAGATGCATGACAGTACAACCATTGGGGACTGACATATCCATGAACCAGGTTGACATTCCATCTGACTTATACAAAGTTCTCTCCACTAGAGATGAAATTAATTTATATGTATTTTATTAGTACATCTAATCAATTCAAATGTATAGGTATTTGGAACAAACTGAAGGAATAAAAACATTCATTGTAGATTGTAAAACTTTTGTTTATCTTGGATGTGCAAAATGTATGTACAGCAAACAAATAATTCAAGTGTACACTGTAGTTAGAGACAATAAGTTTTTTTTATAATATAGAATGCTCAATTACACAATTACTGTCAAATATATTACATGTCACTTTGATATAGCTGTTGGTCGAAAACGCATATGTCAATCTGCTAAAAATGTATTTCCCATGTTGAATAACTTATTATACATGTACCATATATGTACAAATGTAATCAAATGCATTGCTTACTACAGGTGCATTCCAACAAGCGTATTGATGAAATGAAATCGATCGTTTCACCTGTTACATATTTTGCAGGTTAAAAATTGGACTTGAGAAGAATGTAATTCTCATATACATGTCAGGTGCTTTTGCACATAAGTTAGGCGTTCGCAAGACCGTCAACTTCTCTGTTGAAAACAGTGTTGTGTGACAACGTATGAATGTACTTTCATATTTTATCTGTTTGTCATTAAGAATTACGAACATAATACTGCGTTATTATAAGTGAATATATCGATAATAAGTTATGCAAACTACTTTTACCAACCAATTTTAACTTTTCCTCAAAAACTTCATATTGTCTCTTGTCCCGTCTGTTATGGTGCCAAACAACACATGAACCGGATGTTGACACGTCCGCCGACTTAAAGTGTTCTGTTCTACGAGCGCGCCATTTGCGGTAACATATCGAAATTCTATATGAATATAATATGTTCTTCTCAACACTAGCATTTATCTTAACACCACAATTTCAGTTAATTCAACATATTCAATAATGTAAAGTGAAAATCTACGATTTCAATGCGCGGAGGGATATGCCGGCTGGTGACGCGGTCTGTTGCTACAACAGTTGACAACGTTAAGTGCACATAAGTTCTGTTTCAGCGAGGGACACGACAATTTATGACTTAATCAATAACGTGGACGGTGATGCGGGCATAGTTTTTCATCCTGTGCCACCGACCTGAAAGAATAAGAAGTCCATTGCCATCGATCTAATATTACCACCTGAAACAGTGAATTGTTGAATTGAAAGCTTGATTTATTCTTAAAATTTTGTATGGTTAGCTTACATGTCCTGTTAAAATCCTGCTTGCATCCATACGTTGGTGTAAGGGACAAGAAATCTTATTCAAAGTCATCGTCGACTTTGATCTCATTTCCTTTTTCTGATTATTACACGTGTAAAATATAGAAAAAAACTCATGCGTATTTGTAAAGCATATTGTTGCTTCATATTGTTTCTGGAGCTCACCGACCTTAATGGTCTCGGTTGTTTTCTCGCCAAGCAAGTTCAAGACGATATTGGAAAGAGGGAAGAACGAGGTCTTAAAATTCCTCCGATCTTGCTTATGGAACTTTATATCTGCAGTTGTGGTTAAATAGATGCTTCTCTTTTACATTGCTGTAAGAGAGACCGCGGGAATACCATGTTATCATGTATTATCTAAAGGGGAGAAGACAATTCAATAGACACAATATTTGGTAGATAAATACTTGCCTTTCACACTTTTTCCGTACTGCCGTATCCATGTATACAGAGACATATATGACACATATACATCTCTGATGTAATTAACATGCGAATGTTTATGAAATTTGTTAATTAATGTATTTTTTTTTACTACATATCCCACCGTCCATGTTGTGGCGGTCAACAGGTAGAATCGAATGCGGTTTTACAAGCCTATTGGCTGGATATGATGATTTTTTTTTTTTTTTTTTTTTTTTTTTTTGTTTTTTTTTTGTTTTTTGTTGTTGTTGTTGTTTTTTTAAATTTTATTGAAACAATCACATGGAAATTAAGTAAAGGTAAGACAAAAGGTTCTTTCTGAAAGCACACACTATAAAGATATACATGTGTCATATATGTCTCTGATTACATGGATACGGCAGTGTGAAAGGCAAGTATTTATCTACCAAATATTGTATCTATTGAATTGTCATATTGTAAATGAAATGTGCCCAGTAAATATAGAAAAAGTTAAAACACTGGAAAACATGATGTAAAACATAAGCGCTTTCTAAATTTTACACTTTCCCATTACTGCCGGATCTTGTTCATTGTATTTTGGGTCAACATATAGGTCGAATATATATCAAGGTTTCTGCAATTTTCAATAAATATCTCGCATGGTTCCCAATTTGGAATTTTATTTCTTTGTCGCACCAGCGAAATGTATTTCTTAATAAGCAATATGCATATGTTCAAGCCTAACAGTTGAACATTTTCGACCATGCCAAAAAGGAAAGTGGCCGGATTTCTTTTCCAAAACAACATTATATTTGGGAAAGAATGAATTTATAAAGCATGTCCAGAGTGACATACTATGTGTACAATCCCAAAAAGGTGATATATTATTTCAGGTGCCCTACTACAAAAGCTACATTCCTGATGTTCTAAAATGACATTGAATTTGTGAAAAATATTCTGTGAGTAATTCTGTATTGTAAACTGAATAGTTTGAGTCATTTTGCCACCTTTCATTAGAATGTTGAGAATAGGTCAATACAGGGATAATAGTTTGTGATAGAAATACTGAGACAGTTTTTTCAATGTTTTTTCAGTTGCCTCAAACTATTATGCAAAACATGTTCAGTATTTCGTCCATAATTAGTTATCATTCTCTCCCAGTCCACCGATATTGCATTAATGATACTATTAAAGTACATGAAATTGATATTTATTTGGTATTTCTTAATAAAACAATTCAAAGACGTAATATTTCCATGCTCGTCTACTACGTCTTTAACATAAAAGATTCTTTCATTGCAGATTTTTGAAGAAGATAGTTTGTCTATGAACTTTATTCCCTTTATTAAACCACAGAGACTGAGACAGAAAGTTTTCGGGCGCTGCCGGGTAGCGTTCGTAAATATTTCCTTAAATAGACTTAATTTCCTTCCAGAAATTCCCAAACTGTACCATTTTACGACTTACTTCCTCTAATCCACATTTTGTTAAACTCCCTATTTCATTTCCTTCCAATCGTTCTATATCATTAATTAATATTTTTCCCAGTCTGCATGATTACTTGGATCCAAGCATTTCTTTATCAGCACTAGTTTTAATTATTTACTATAAGAAAAAATATCTGGTACTTTCAAACCTCCATCTTTAAAATCACCAATTAAAAACTTCGTTTTAAATTCATCAATTATACTATTCAATATAAGATGAAAAATCATATTTGATTTTTTTTATGATCTTAACATGTGGACTATGGATTACAGGTAGTATTTTTACAACAATAGGAACATCTAACCTCTTGATAACAGTCACTCTACAATTATAAAACGATTCCTGAAAGACCAGTCTTGGAGAAATGACTGCACTGACTTATGTTTTTCTAGAAAATCATCTTCATTAATATCATCTTTTGATAAATCATAATTTACTCCTAAAAGCTAAAATTTCCTTTGATGATTCCAAGGTAAGTATGCTCTGTTTCTGTCTCCTGCCCGCAGCCCCGTTTTACCCTAGTCCATACAGCATGTGACTTATCAAAATTTGTTATTAGACCTGAACATCCCCCATACATGTCGACCAAATACACAAGTGTATAAGGACTTTTTAAAATATTTTGCATCATCATCTTCAAGCATCAATGTTGATAACGGGCGAATGATATCTACTCTATCTCGTAGATTACGACAAAACGCCGGCGTATCATTATTTACACAAAGGGTTAATTTAACATTTGATATCATCATAGACAATAATAGAATATTCTCGTCTGCGTCCTTGTATTAACCATTCACGTCGTAATCGAACGATTTTTTAAACAGAATTGCGATACCCCTACAATTAGATGAACATGATGCAAATTTGATATCACCTCCCCATCCATTCTTCCACAATGTTTCTACATTAAAAAAAAAAACAAGATTTGAATCCGCAAACACATGTACAATGTAAATCCATGGCCAACGTGCATTATTGCGCCGAGTTTTGTTAAGAATTTAAGAAACTTATCAAACGGAAAATGCTGATAAAGTTGTGAAGATTCAGATGAATAAATATTTTAAAAGTCACATCAGTTAAGTACTTGATCAGGTTCAATCACAAAGAATGGACAAAAATGTACCTTTCAATGAGTATGCTAACACGAGTTGCCTCCCTTCAATCGATATAAATTCGTTGCGAGTTATCCAGCAAAACGCTTACTTTAAATCATATGAATTAAGTCTTCTTATTATTTATCTGTATCATTATTTCCTTCAAGTTTACACTTGTTCTATTAATTATGATAATATCATGCTACTTATCAACCTACAGATACGAAAGGGTCTTTGTAATGTTGTTACAACTTGTGTCCAATATGATTGCTTTATTTATGCAATGAAATGTATTTACATGGTGTAACTTGCTTGAATTTTCCATTATACGGTTAATCAGTCTGCGATGTTTATAGCAAAATAAGATTTTGTACTTCCAATTATCAAGTTTCTACTCACTTCATCTGTATAAATAATTACGCGTGCACATAATGTAGCATGGGCTTTAAATAGAAACAGAGACAGTCTTGTCTCACTGAATTCACTTACGAAAAGGTTAGATTATGTTATGCTTAAATTAACCTGCAGTGAATGAAGGGATAGCATGTAATGATAAAGCTAAAACGGCCTGAAGGGAATGGCGAATCCACAATCTAACAGCGTGAGTGGAGTTAATTCTTATTTTTGTTTTGTTTATGGTCGAGGGTTAGCGCGAACGCAGACCCCCACACTAAAAAATAGCGTACCCGAGTAATCCGCATTTGGGATTATCGCAGGGTTCAGCCCGACCGGAGTGCAATGGAAGGGCCTCGACCTGGGGGAACCGCCTTGCTGATCACGGTATCCCCTGTACCAGGTAAGTATGAATTTTTGAGCTATGGGTTCAATATATGAATTAAAAGTAAGATTACTAAATACAGGTATTTAAAAATTAACATATCAGAAAATAATATTCAATTATATTACGTAAAAGAAATTATATTTGATTTAAATTATATTACTATATATAAAACTTCAATTTAAAATAATTATAAATTACATTTATATTTCTATCTTATAGCAATTTTGTGTTACATAAATTAATTTCTTTTTTTTGTGTCAGAATGTAACAAGGGAGGTAACTTCATCCTTTTTTTCTTTCTGACGATTGAAGGGAGATAATATGCTCAGATTGGAAGACAACACGTTAAAAAATCACGACTCTTCTAATAAAAATTAAAAAAAAAAGACGGTGACTGTGAGAAATTATGCGAGAAATCAGGGAACGATATCGAAGAAATATACCTGTAGCTTTGGGTTTTGTTACTATAACTATCCTGATGTAAATTACCTTGTATGTTTATCGTCTTATATTTTCAACCATGTGTATGATGTGATCTCTCATTATATGTACTTACGTTTTCTATTAATTTTACTTGATTACTGTTACTCCGAGCTTCTGAAATTATTACTCGTAATTGTTCCACATAAAAAATGGATTTCTCCTATCTCACCAGCTTTTGAGCAAACTTTGTAAATTGATAAAGATCTAGTAGTGATATTGTGCAGGAAGTATGCTTGAAATGGGCCTGCAATGTGCTACAGTGGAAGAGCAAGGGTATGTAATTTCGCACAGTACGTAATTTTGCACACTCGGTGATTTTTCGTCCCTTTTCTTCCACTAGCAGTAGATTATGTTTTTTCCGTTTATTTGCCGATTTAGGCGAGATTTATGCCGTGCTTTTGCTGTTCTAAATATAGCACTTTCAAAGAACCTCGTTTTGAAAACGAAACCGCAATGAAAATGGACCTTAACAAAAAATAATCTCACAGACCTTTTAGATTATACATTTCCAAATATTAAGGGAATATGTCGTTTCCTCAGATCATTATAAAAAATATTTTAAATTAGTTGAATACAATTAATTACGGCGAGGCCCCATGACCTGTCGTCTGCTTCACATATACTTCCTTCGGTAACAGTCAGTATTAAAGAATACGGGCCATTAAGCATTTTCACCGTTATATTTTCAATAGCATATATACCATATAACTACATAAAATAAGATTAATACAGATTTTGAATGAATTTTAGTTTTCATTAATGAAAGAAAGTGCAATGGCGGTGAAATTACTTTTTAAAATTCGACGGAATAAATCGGCTTTTAACGTTTCAAAAGCCTTTTTTGTTCAATCTAAGTTTGGGATGTAATTTTTTTAGTACAAAAAGTTTGAAAACTGTGCTTAGCAACAAAAATAAGGAGGCTAGATGGGTGTACTAGATTACGTTGCCTCTTGTCTTCATACCATGAAGTAAACACCGGTTGATAACACTTACACAGTGATATGCGATGGTATACCAGGTTATGTATTTAAATATTACCGAGTGTATGTACATCTAACCTTGCCAGACAATCTTTACCGTTTCGAAAAAGATCAAATCATATATCAATACGTACAAAAAGTGTGCGAAATCACGTACCCTCACTTCACAGTTTTCATTCACCACAAAAAAACGCTGCTGTGTTGACTGGTTTTCCCCCTATTGGTGATATAGTTTTGCCAACTCTTGAGTCAATTTATTTCGACAATTCCCAAAGCATGAATATTAAGGTAAAACAAATTAGCCTTTTTTATTCCATCAATAATCGTTTACAATTTAAAAAGAGAAACCATTTTTTTATGTCTGTATTACGTTGTTTACTGTTTTAGATTTAATTAAAACAAACTTTAATGAAACCAATTGGAAAGACTCGTAGACGAAGAAAATATACAATAAGAGAATATATCTATTAATATATATATACCGCTATCAGGCAATAATACTGTCTTATCGTTATACAGAGCTACATGTATTGCTTATCATACCAGGTTACTTTGTGTGAGACTTTGTAAAAGACGGAATATAATTCCGTACGGTTCGATAACATCCATCACTTCCTTCAATGTTGTCAGGATCTGAGTTTATCTCTATCGCATTCATACACGTGTGTTATATCACACACAAAAGTAATGCGTTTCCAGCTCTTCATTTTACGAAAATAGGAATGAAATTTGTGCAGGCAGGGACGGAAATGCTCGAGATCAACCGTGGCTGTCTTCCCATTTTGTCAACTGCTGTGCCGCTCCTAACTCAATTCCATACGTATCATGTATATGTGTTAAAAGGTTGAATATTGAATAAAATATTTGTAAACTAAATGATAGTACTACTATTTATCGTATAACTGTATAATTAACAAATTCCTCATTTATGTTTTTAAAGATATCGTATAGATCTAGATATGTTATTTTTCGAATTAGTTATGCAATTTTTTTGACAATGTCCTTTCCCAGTTACGATAGCGAAGACTAGCTAATACCACACAGTTTACAATTGTCCTCGGAGAAAACTCTTTATCATGAATCAGTCACATACTGTCTTAAAAACTCTGAGAACCATGTTTTGTTTCGTCTTGATATAATTTTTTCATTTGTTTTTGTTTTGTTTCACAAAGGCAGCAGCAGAAACAACAACAACAACAAAAACAACAACAACAACAGCAACAACAACAACAACCGTACATGTGTAATTGATCACGGCTGTCCGTCTGGTGCTGTAACTGATCACGGCTGTCCGTCTGGTGCTGTAACTGATCACGGCTGTCCGTCTGGTGCTGTGACTGATCACGGCTGTCCGTCTGGTGCTGTAACTGATCACGGCTGTCCGTCTGGTGCTGTAACTGATCACGGCTGTCCGTGTGGTGCTGTAACTAATCACAGCTGTCCGTCTGGTGCTGTGCCTGATCACGGCTGTCCGTCTGGTGCTGTAACTGATCACGGCTATCCATCTGGTGCTGTAACTGATCACGGCTATCCGTCTGGTGCTGTAACTGATCACAGTTGTCCGTCTGGTGATATAACTAATCACAGCTGTCCGTCTGGTGCTGTGCCTGATCAGGCTGTCCGTTTGGTGCTGTAACTGATCACGGCTATCCGTCTGGTGCTGTAACTGATCACAGCTGTCCGTCTGGTGCTGTAACTGATCACGTCTGTTGGTCTGGTGCTGTAACTGATCACGTCTGTTGGTCTGGTGCTGTAACTGATCACGGCTGTTCGTCTGGTGCTGTAACTGATCACAGCTGTCCGTCTGGTGCTGTATCTGATCACAGCTGTCCGTCTGGTGCTGTGCCTGATCACGGCTGTCCGTCTGGTGCTGTAACTGATCACGGCTATCCATCTGGTGCTGTGACTGATCACGACTATCCGTCTGGTGCTGTAACTGATCACAGCTGTCCGTCTGGTGCTATAACTGATCACGGCTGTCCGTCTGGTGCTGTAACTGATCACGGCTGTCCGTCTGGTGCTGTAACTGATCACCGCTGTCCGTCTGGTGCTGTAACTAATCACAGCTGTCCGTCTGGTGCTTTAACTGATCACAGCTGTCCGTCTGGTGCTGTAACTGATCACGGCTGTTCGTCTGGTGCTGTAACTGATCACGGCTGTCTATCTGGTGCTGTCACTGATCACGGCTATCCGTCTGGTGATATAACTGATCACAGCTGTCCGTCTGGTGCTGTAACTAATCACAGCTGTCCATCTGGTGGTGTGACTGATCACGGCTGTCCATCTGGTGCTGTCACTGATCACGGCTATCCGTCTGGTGATATAACTGATCACAGCTGTCCGTCTGGTGATGTAACTGATGTCCGTCTGGTGCTGTAACTGATCACAGCTGTCCGTCTGGTGCTGTGACTGATCACAGCTGTCCATCTGGTGCTGTAACTGATCACGGCTATCCGTCTGGTTCATGACATGGCCAATCATGTATTTCATATTGAAAGTATTTCTTTTATTAAATAAACATATCATCCCACCTACATTCCTGTGAGCTACATTCAGCAAAGTTGGCATTTAAAATGGTTGGATTTGTTTCGTAACTCGGGTGATTCCTCAGGTAAACAATGCAAGGCCCTACCCACCTATACTAATCAGCTAATATCACACCTGACCGTGTATTGGGCAGTGCCGTTACTGTTTCTTGTCATCAATTTTTCATGACCAGCAACGTAAGTTAGCGATGCTATAAAAGCCGGTTCGGGTACAGACGCGTCCACTTTATTCCGGAATCTACCCTCGCTATCCTTACCCGTTTTGTGGTGCATCATAACGACGCAAAATGACGGAAGAAATAGACCTCGTCAACCGGGACCCAAACAACATTAACGACCACTTGAGGGTAAGCTTACTAATGGCTAGTTCATACAATTTTTATTTATTTGATAATTTTCTGGTAATTATGTAACATTGTGTATCTTTTGGATGTTTAAAGATCTCGAAATTTTATTCGAATGGCTAAGCAGTTTTTTTCAGTTTCGGTTCGGAACATGATGTAAGTATAGATAATTCATCGTTTGAAATATTCTTCAATTAATTAACATAACGTAGTATACATAGAAAAGTGCTAAACACCTGTATGTAGTCGAAGTGCGCTGGACGCAACACAGTGTATACAAGCGACGAAGACATACCGTAGTAGACAAAGTGTACAGGACGTACTGTAGTAGACAAAGTGTGTAGGACGTACCGTAGTAGACAAAGTGTGTAGGACTTACCGTAGTAGAAAAAGTGTGTAGGACGTACCGTAGAAGACAAAGTGTACAGGACGTACCGTAGTAGACAAAGTGTGTAGGACTTACCGTAGTAGACAAAGTTTGTAGGACGTACCGTAGTAGACAAAGTGTGTAGGACGTACCGTAGTAGACAAAGTGTGTAGGACGTACCGTAGAAGACAAAGTGTACAGGACGTACCGTAGTAAACAAAGTGTGTAGGACTTACCGTAGTAGACAAAGTGTGTAGGACGTACCGTAGTAGACAAAGTGTGCAGGACGTACCGTAGTAGAGAAAGTGTGTAGGACGTACCGTAGTAGAGAAAGTGTGTAGGACTTACCGTAGTAGAAAAAGTGTGTAGGACGTACCGTAGAAGACAAAGTGTACAGGACGTACCGTAGTAGACAAAGTGTGTAGGACTTACCGTAGTAGACAAAGTGTGTAGGACGTACCGTAGTAGACAAAGTGTGTAGGACGTACCGTAGTAGACAAAGTGTGTAGGACGTACCGTAGTAGACGAAGTGTGTAGGACTTACCGTAGTAGACAAAGTGTGTAGGACTTACCGTAGTAGACAAAGTGTGTAGGACTTACCGTAGTAGACAAAGTGTGTAGGACGTACCGTAGTAGACAAAGTGTGTAGGACTTACCGTTGTAGACAAAGCGTGTAGGACGTACCGTAGTAGACAAAGTGTACAGGACTTACCGTAGTAGACAAAGTGTGTAGGACGTACCGTAGTAGACAAAGTGTACAGGACGTACCGTAGTAGACAAAGTGTGTAGGACGTACCGTAGTAGACAAAGTGTACAGGACGTACCGTAGTAGACAAAGTGTACAGGACGTACCGTAGTAGACAAAGTGTGTAGGACTTACCGTTGTAGACAAAGTGTGTAGAACGTACCGTAGAAGACAAAGTGTACAGGACGTACCGTAGTAGACAAAGTATACAGGACGTACCGTAGTAGACAAAGTGTACAGAACGTACCGTAGTAGACAAAGTGTACAGGACATACCGTAGTAGTAGGCAAAGTATACAGAACGTACCGTAGTAGACAAAGTGTACAGGACGTACCGTAGTAGACAAAGTGTGTAGGACTTACCGTTGTAGACAAAGCGTGTAGGACGTACCGTAGTAGACAAAGTGTACAGGACTTACCGTAGTAGACAAAGTGTGTAGGACGTACCGTAGTAGACAAAGTGTACAGGACGTACCGTAGTAGACAAAGTGTACAGGACGTACCGTAGTAGACAAAGTGTACAGGACGTACCGTAGTAGACAAAGTGTGTAGGACTTACCGTAGTAGACAAAGTGTGTAGGACGTACCGTAGTAGACAAAGTGTGTAGGACGTACCGTAGTAGACAAAGTGTGTAGGACGTACCGTAGAAGACAAAGGGTACAGGACGTACCGTAGTAGAAAAAGTGTGTAGGACGTACCGTAGAAGACAAAGTGTACAGGACGTACCGTAGTAGACAAAGTGTGTAGGACTTACCGTAGTAGACAAAGTTTGTAGGACGTACCGTAGTAGACAAAGTGTGTAGGACGTACCGTAGTAGACAAAGTGTGTAGGACGTACCGTAGTAGACAAAGTGTACAGGACGTACCGTAGTAGACAAAGTGTGTAGGACTTACCGTTGTAGACAAAGTGTGTAGGACTTACCGTTGTAGACAAAGTGTGTAGAACGTACCGTAGAAGACAAAGTGTACAGGACGTACCGTAGTAGACAAAGTGTACAGGACGTACCGTAGTAGACAAAGTGTGTAGGACGTACCGTAGTAGACAAAGTGTGTAGGACGTACCGTAGTAGACAAAGTGTGCAGGACGTACCGTAGTAGACAAAGTGTGTAGGACGTATCGTAGTAGACAAAGTGTACAGGAAGTACCGTAGTAGACAAAGTGTGTAGGACGTACCGTAGTACACCACAAAGTGTACAGGACGTACCGTAGTAGACAAAGTGTGTAGGACGTACCGTAGTAGACAAAGTGTACAGGAAGTACCGTAGTAGACAAAGCTCGTAGGACGTACCGTAGTAGACAAAGTGTACAGGACGTACCGTAGTAGACAAATGACAGGACGTATCACATAGGAAAAAGTTATTCAGCTTTTTATTGTTTTTTTGGAAAGTTACATATTTCAAGAGCAGTTAAGAAATTCTGAATAGCCACCTTCATAATTAAACAGAATTATTTAATGTCAAAATATGTGTTCTCCTCCAGTTTGTGTTTTATGTACTTCCGTATCGAAGCAACAGCTTGCTAGGGATGTCAATGTTTTGTTTTTACCTTCGTCTTATGAACAAATATTACATTGTTGCCATGACTTCTGCTTTCTTGAGATACCTTCGAGAATTTAGAAGATTCGTTCATCTTTTACATATTTAATGAATGCCCTTTAAGCCTACCAACATCACACACATATACCTGTTTACATGGTCGGTAGGACAACACTGTTCGTGTAGATAAATAACAATACCATCGTTTGATTTGTTCATGAAACATTGATAAGACTTCTGGCAGCATCCCAGTTCCATGCAATCTATCTGTGAACAGTCTCTACACCGCTGTATCGACATTATTACTGCATACCTTAGGTCAGTCTTACGTTGTAAACAATATGATTGGAACTGGAAATGAGGTTTTGCGATTGTTCGATCTCTTCTTCATAATAAGAACGACCGATACAAATATTTTCAAATTCATCTCGACGATCCTGTCATTATTGACAAAATTGTGACTGGTTCGTTGGTTTCTATGAAGGTTTACGAAGACGAGTCTAGTGTTGTCAAACTGAAACGTCAAAACGTCTGATAATGCACCAATAATCAGTTTTTAAAACCACTACTTCCAAATAAAAAAATTCTTCATCCGATCCAGAAGATATAGAATCCTGAAAACTCAATACAGCAGGACACAAGCGAAACATCGCAAAGCAAAATGCGCCTGATAACAAAAAGAGTATATTGTATAGTTAAATCCTCATTATCAGGTATTGTATGGTAAAATAGTCATTATTAGGTATTGTATGGTAAAATAGTCATTATTTGGTATTGTATGGTAAAATCCTCATTATTTGGTATTGTATGGTAAAATAGTCATTATTTGGTATTGTATGGTAAAATCCTCATTATTTGGTATTGTTTGGTAAAATAGTCATTATTTGGTATTGTATGGTAAAATCCTCATTATTTGGTATTGTTTGGTAAAATCCTCATTATTTGGTATTGTATGGTAAAATCCTCATTATTTGGTATTGTTTGGTAAAATAGTCATTATTTGGTATTGTATGGTAAAATCCTCATTATTTGGTATTGTTTGGTAAAATAGTCATTATTTGGTATGGAGTTCTTAATTTCTTATCCAATAATCACAGAGATAGTAATTGGTTCAATTTTGTTGTATTAAAATACATCCCGCAATACTGGATTTTGGAACACCATATCTCATTGGTGTAAAATTTCTTTATATCGTATTTGATAGGTGTTACACAGAATTCCGAAACACCATTTATTGTTGATGTACCACAACCTTTCATGTCTTTTCTCTAGCTTAAGTACAACCCCAACTCCAGTCAGATGTCATTCTCGTTGTCGTCCAAACGTTCACATTCATCTACTTTTGACATTTGTATTTTTCAGGTAACATTCGAGGATATTTTGGCGGAACCAGAGGGTGCTCACAGTCTTGACTGCGTTTGGAAATGTTCGCACCGGTGCTTCACGTGCTGGAAGGACCTGTGCTATTACATTATGACAACACTGTGTGCGATCTGTATTGCCGCCGAATGGGGCTGCGAGTTTGCGTATGTTTCTTTCGTACACGTCTGGTACGTGACCCCCTTATTCAAGCTTCTCGAGATCAACTGCGCGTGCTTGCAAAAACTGTACGGCATGTGTATCCACTGTTGCATGGATCCATTCTGTGAGGCAATGAGCATCATCTTCACGCCATTCAAACGCTAAAGGGACCATGATCAATATCATAAGGAAAACTCGAATGCAGTGCCACATCTGGTCTATACCACTTCCGGACTGTACCACTTCCGAAACCGTTAAACTGACGTAAATTAAAATACTTACCTCTCATCGCGATGGTTGGGATGCTTTTAAGAAATTTGTGTGAAGTAAAACTCTTTCATTGAATTTTAAAAATACCGCCTGGATACAAATAACTAATGGAATACTGGTATAAACGAAACATTGCAGGAATCCCAGGGCGACACTAAAGAAACATTTAAATGATCGTGTTATTTTTGTTAATTGTAGAGACGACACTATTGATATACCGAGAGGAGAATAAAGGATAATATTTAAAATAATATTGTTTTACTTGTTAATGTAACATAAACGTCTCTAATTGTTGATGATCTTGGCTTGTGTATATACAGAGATTACCTGTAACATATGTTTTTCTCCAATATCCATTTTTTATATGAATTTCATTTGAAATGTCAGTATTTTAATGCATGTTTATAAATAAAAAGCAACTTATTCGTATCTAATGTTGCCACAGTTTATTGTTTCTTGATGTGTGTCATTTACTCCAGAAATTTTCGACGATTTTGATGGTTTAAATTGTTTTCAAATGCAGAAACTGATGTCTATTGTAATAAATGGTGGAGATATCACGGAACCTGTATAACATATATTTACATATCTATTTATTTTGTTGTTTAAATAACGGTAATATAAATACCGTGTTTACCTGTGCGGCGATATGTAAATATTGATCAGGTGTCATGTTGAAGATGACTAATTTTGACCAGTGCAACAAGATGTGTGTCAGAGGTATTTTCGGACTTATGACAAATACGTTCTAATAATACAGCGTACATCTATGTGTTATTCGTGTCATAATTAAACTGTGTATACTTAAGCTTTGTAGTGATTTTTTGATTTTAACTTATTCATTTCATCGAGTTTTAAATCAAATACTTTAAGTGTATCTTATTTCACAAATTATATATATATATATATGTATACACACCTCTCGCACGCCAGATTTTACACTGCTATGCGATGTACATAAGCGTTTTTAAAAGCCCAACAGTTATTTCCCTTTAATCGCAATCTGCGAAATAATCGGGACCCCTTGGGGTGATATGGGAGAGAGGGGATGGGGGGATTTCAATCTGAAGTGTAGGAGGATATAGAAATACTAAATCCCGACCTAAAGTACAGTTGGTAATTTAAAGACACTGGCCATTCTATATTGGTTATGTACCCTTGGTATATTTCTCCCACATGGCCGATATTTCTCTATCCAACCCAAATCCTAAGGAAATATAGGTCTCTGTAGAAAACAACTTAATGACCGAGAAAAAGTATAGAATAATATATCGACATATGTAAGGATTGATGGGTGGGTAGGTTGTTGTGTGGACAGACGGACGGACGGACGAACTGATAGCGGCATGCATAAATGGGTGGGTGAATGGATGGGTGGATTATTCTGATATGTCAGAGTTACTGCCCTTCAGCTATAACGATAAGCTTGACAGCAGGTGGGGCCGAGAATATGTCGATGAATGGATTGACTTGCGGGCGGGTGAGAGAACGGACGAATGGACGGATTGATCGCATATTCCACATACCGATTTTATATCAGTATGACTTTCGAATTACTTGCCTTCTAGCCTACCTAGTAATGTACAAAAGTACAATGTCAGTGTGGGCACTTGTAGAGGTATACTTAGTCGTCCGATCTTATCTTTAGGGTCAAAAGACGCCACGTTTGTAAGAACATACAATTTATTTCTTAACAAGAAATGTTGACGGATTTATTTATTCTAAACTTTATGCGGCACCGTCCAATTTTATGTTGTTATCTCTCCCGAAATCCTTTTGATTTATTGCTTGTTCAATCAATACAGCTAATACATGCCTAAACATTAGGGATTGGCGCTGTGTCATTGGAAGGGAGGACCTGTCAGTCCGGCAGGGATGATAATAGTACGGTGGGCTGAATTATGAGTCAATACAGAAATTGATTTGTAAACATTTTTGTACTGTGATGCATCCTGAATCACATGTAAAGCTAATATATTAAACACGCAATTACCTACTTGATCTGAAATTCACGAAATGACGTATGACAAAGGAACCGCCGAATGGAAGAAAACAATACCAAACATTCTGATTTCCCTGAGTTACTTCCCTTCGTTTCACTCCATCAGTATCAGATGGTAAATCGATTAGTGTGATATTACAGCTAAAGCTGACAACTATACACACGTCATGTCAACTGACTATAATTACACAGTATACCTATTTTGAAAAAGAATTGCCAACAGGAATGTTTGGAGACCAGATTTTACCAATGAAAATAGTTTTGGACGAAAAAAATATCAATGGTAATTTTGGGCGAAAGCGTTTTTTGTCAATAAAACAATTTTGTGAGAGAAAAAATTGTCGATGGAAATATTGTAAAAAAAAGTTTTTTTATAAATGGAAAATTAGTGCGAAATCATTTCGTTGAAAAGTCAATAAAAGTTTTGGATGGAAAAACGTTTGTCAATGGAAATATTCTGAGCGAAAGATTTTTTCAATGGAAATTTTTGACGAAAAGAATATGTCAGTGGAAATGTTTGACGAAATGAATATCAGTGGAAATTTTGGGAGAAAATTGTCAATGAAGATACATATGTAAACTGATTTTCCAACAAAATTTAATACTATTCTATCAAGGTCACTAGTTTCGGCTTCCAATAAATCGCTAGTGATAGTTACTATACCTTTATGTAAAGGGGAGTGTAGCTGTGATTGGGAAATCTCGATGATAGGTAAATTAGGGACATGAGAATTTCGGGCTAAGTTTAAATACACGTGTATCAAGTTCTCAGGTCCCTGTGCTGAGACGATTGCTCGTTCTTTTACCTGTAAGGTGTGACACTATGATTACCTAGATTTGTCGCCTGTAAATTTATGTTCCCCCATAAAAGCAGGGCAGCATAGGTAGCATTCTTCTCGGAATTGTTATCAACATTTAAGTCAATTTGAGCTTACCTGCTCGGGTAGACTACACACTGCAAAGGTTGTCCACACCATCACATCTTCCAAGGACTGTTCACTCCTACCTTAGAAACAGGATATTTATATAAACAGCTAACATTGTGAACCATCATGAACCATCATCCCAAACAAGACAGAGATCCAAACGGCATCAACATCCACGTACAGGTGAGGTCAACCGCAGTTATAGAAAACAATAGATAACATAGATAAAGTATATTTTATCAAAGTTTCGAACATTTAAGAAATATAAAATGTACATTGATGAGATACGCATATAGCATGTAAAAATAATACATATAGTAATGTCTGGTCTGGTTAAATGCACGACATACTACATGTATTTAACATTTTCATTCTCAATACAGGAATTAAAATTTTCACAAAACATTTACTTCAGACATATCTACAGAGAAATATATGGTGTGTGGCGTTACCAATCATTAACATTTTTAGAATCATGGCAGTTTTATATTATAAAAATAAATTATAAGATTGAGAATACTAGAACCACTACTATCTAAAACCAATAGCATCATTATAATGTTTCTTGTTTTAGCAGTACTGGGCGTCACTTTTTTATATATGATATCAGATTATCAGTAATAACTGGATTCATAGATTTAGACATAGCAACAGTCGATGTGATTTGGTTCTTCTACATTGTATCAGTTATCGGTATCATAAAAGTTTCAGTCATATATAGTGTCAGAAAAATATATACAAACAGACGCAGTATAGTCAGTAATGGTCTTACTAAACAGAAGTGAACGGTAAGGTTAGCAGTATACTCAGTAATGGTCTTACTAAACATGAGTAAACGGTAAGGTTAGCAGTATACTCATTACTAAACAGTAGTAAACGGTAAGGTTAGCAGTATACTTACTAAACAGGAGTAAATGGTAAGGTTAGCAGTATACTTACTAAACAGGAGTAAACGGTAAGGTTAGCAGTATACTTACTAAACAGGAGTAAACGGTAAGGTTAGCAGTATACTCATTACTAAACAGGAGTAAACGGTGAGGTTAGCAGTATACTTACTAAACAGGAGTAAACGGTAAGGTTAGCAGTATACTTACTAAAAAGGAGTAAACGGTAAGGTTAGCAGTATACTCATTACTAAACAGGAGTAAACGGTGAGGTTAGCAGTATACTTACTAAACAGTAGTAAACGGTAAGGTTAGCAGTATACTCATTAATAAACAGGAGTAAACGGTAAGATTAGCAGTATACTCATTACTAAACAGTAGTAAACGGTAAGGTTAGCATTATACTCAGTAATAGTCTTACTAAACAGGAGTAAACGGTAAGTTTAGCAGTATACTCAGTAATAGTCTTAATAAACAGGAGTAAACGGTAAGGTTAGCAGTATACTCATTACTAAACAGGAGTAAACGGTAAGGTTAGCAGTATACTCATTAATAAATAGGAGTAAACGGTAAGGTTAGCAGTATACTCAGTAATAGTCTTACTAAACAGAAGTAAACGGTAAGGTTAGCAGTATACTCATTACTAAACAGGAGTAAACGGTAAGGTTAGCAGTATACTCATTACTAAACAGGAGTAAACGGTAAGGTTAGCAGTATACTCATTACTAAACGGAGTAAACGGTAAGGTTAGCAGTATACTCATTACTAAACAGGAGTAAACGGTAAGGTTAGCAGTATACTCAGTAATAGTCCTACTAAACATGAGTTAACGGTAAGGTTAGGAGTATGTTTCAGGTGGTGGATAAATGATTAAATACACACAGTACTACCAACTAAAATGATCTTTTTTAAAGCGTGTTTGCGAGAGTTTACGGTCATTCTGTTAGACTGTTAGCTGTTTAACATGAGAGTTGATACAAATGTGAGTTAGCGAGTTTGTATCAACTGTGTTAGCGAGAGTTCATACAAATGTGAGTTAGCGAGAGGTGACACAAATGTGAGTTAGCGAGTCTGTGTCAACTGTGTTAGCGAGAGTTGATACAAATGTGAGTTAGCGCGTTTGTATCAACTGTGTTAGCGAGAGTTGATACAAATGTGAGTTAGCGCGTTTGTATCAACTGTGTTAGCGCGTTTGTATCAACTGTGTTAGAGAGATTGATACAAATGTGAGTTAGCGAGTATCAACTGTGTTAGCGAGAGATGATACAAATGTGAGTTAGGGAGTTTGTATCAACTGTGTTAGCGAGATTGTATCAACTGTGGTGGCGAGTTTGAATCAACTGTGTTGGCGAGATTGTATCAACTGTGTTAGCGAGATTGTATCAACTGTGTTAGCGAGAGTTGATACAAATGTGAGTTAGCGAGTCTGTGTCAACTGTGTTAACGAGAGTTGATACAAATGTGAGTTAGCGAGTTTGTATCAACTGTGTTAGCGAGAGTTCATACAAATGTGAGTTAGCGAGAGGTGACACAAATGTGAGTTAGCGAGTCTGTGTCAACTGTGTTAGCGAGAGATGATACAAATGTGAGTTAGCGAGTCTGTGTCAACTGTGTTAACGAGAGTTGATACAAATGTGAGTTAGCGAGTTTGTATCAACTGTGTTAGCGAGAGTTGATACAAATGTGAGTTAGCGAGTTTGTATCAACTGTGTTAGCGAGAGTTGATACAAATGTGAGTTAGCGCGTTTGTATCAACTGTGTTAACGAGAGTTGATACAAATGTGAGTTAGCGAGTCGGTGTCAACTGTGTTAACGAGAGTTGATACAAATGTGAGTTAGCGAGTTTGTATCAACTGTGTTAACGAGAGTTGATACAAATGTGCGTTAGCGAGTCTGTGTCAACTGTGTTAACGAGAGTTGATACAAATGTGAGTTAGCGAGTTTGTATCAACTGTGTTAGCGAGAGTTGATACAAATGTGAGTTAGCGCGTTTGTATCAACTGTGTTAGCGAGTATACAAATGTGTGTGTTCAACTGTGTTAGCGAGATTGTACAACTGTGTTAGCGAGAGTTGATACAAATGTGAGTTAGCGCGTTTGTATCATCTGTGTTAGCGAGAGATGATACAAATGTGAGTTAGCGCGTTTGTATCAACTGTGTTAGCGAGAGTTGATACAAATGTGAGTTAGCGAGTTTGTATCAACTGTGTTAGCGAGAGTTGATACAAATGTGAGTTAGCGCGTTTGTATCAACTGTGTTAACGAGAGTTGATACAAATGTGCGTTAGCGAGTCTGTGTCAACTGTGTTAGCGAGAGTTGATACAAATGTGAGTTAGCGCGTTTGTATCAACTGTGTTAGCGAGAGTTGATACAAATGTGAGTTAGCGAGTTTGTATCAACTGTGTTAGCGAGAGTTGATACAAATGTGAGTTAGCGCGTTTGTATCAACTGTGTTAGCGAGAGTTGATACAAATGTGAGTTAGCGAGTTTGTATCAACTGTGTTAGCGAGAGTTGATACAAATGTGAGTTAGCGCGTTTGTATCAACTGTGTTAGCGAGATTGTATCAACTGTGTTAGCGAGAGTTGATACAACTGTGTTAGCGCGTTTGTATCAACTGTGTTAACGAGAGTTGATACAAATGTGCGTTAGTTTGTATCAACTGTGTTAGCGAGAGTTGATACAAATGTGAGTTAGCGCGTTTGTATCAACTGTGTTAGCGAGAGTTGATACAAATGTGAGTTAGCGCGTTTGTATCAACTGTGTTAGCGAGAGTTGATACAAATGTGAGTTAGCGATAGCGAGAGTTGTATCGAGTTTGTATCAACTGTGTTAGCGAGAGTTGATACAACTGTGTTAGCGAGATTGTTTCAACTGTGTTAGCGAGAGTTGATACAAATGTGAGTTAGCGCGTTTGTATCAACTGTGTTAGCGAGAGTTGATACAAATGTGAGTTAGCGAGTTTGTATCAACTGTGTTAGCGAGAGATGATACAAATGTGAGTTAGCGAGTCTGTGCCAACTATGATAACGAGAGTTGATACAAATGTGAGTTAGCGAGATTGTATCAACTGTGTTAGCGAGAGTTAATAGAAATGTGAGTAAGCAAGATTGTACCAACTGTGTTAGCGAGAGATGATACAAATGTGAGTTAGGGAGTTTGTATCAACTGTGTTAGCGAGATTGTATCAACTGTGTTAGCGAGAGTTGATACAAATGTGAGTTAGCGCGTTTGTATCAACTGTGTTAACGAGAGTTGATACAAATGTGAGTTAGCGCGTTTGTATCATCTGTGTTAGCGAGAGATGATACAAATGTGAGTAAGGGATTTTGTATCAACTGTGTTAGCGAGATTGTATCAACTGTGTTAGCGAGATTGTATCAACTGTGTTAGCGAGAGTTGATACAATTGTGTTAGCGAGATTGTATCAACTGTGTTAGCGAGAGATGATACAAATGTGCGTTAGCGAGTCTGTGTCAACTGTGTTAACGAGAGTTGATACAAATGTGTTAGCGAGATTGTATCAACTGTGTTAGCGAGATTGTATCAACTGTGTTGGCGAGTTTGTATCAACTGTGTTAGCGAGAGTTGTATCACCTGTGTTAGTGAGAGTTGATACCACTGTGAGTTAGCGTGATTGTATCAACTGTGTTAGCGAGAGTTGATACAAATGTGAGTTAGCGAGATTGTATCAACTGTAACAGTGAGAGGTTATACGTCTGTGATAGGTAGTTTATTTACAATATATCTGTACTCCGCTATTTACAATGCCCTATCATTTTACATGTTTCCTACCCGGGACACTGTGGAAAGGCGAGAGAGTTAGCGGCAGGACTATTGCTTCGTGTGCACTCTCTGCCTGATACATGAAAAGTACGTGCATTTATATCCGCCCAAACAATATACACCACCTACACACCAAAAATCACCATTCAGCTCTCCGATACCCACAACTGAAGTCAAACAAAACCCCGAATGAAGTTTATATCGTAAATATACAGCTCTCAATCAACATAAGTACAGACCACTCAACAATCTTACAAACTATTAACTCACTCAGTCGCCTACAGTAGATATCCGATTAAACCAACCCTTACACATGTTAGCGAGCGTCTAGAAACTTAAGTGTACATAAGTATGTTTAGTAAGCGTATCGTAAACATCCACTGTAATAAAGCTATCTGTACGTAAATGTTGATTCATCCTATTTTTTTCTTATTTTATTATTATAAAATGATAGCAGAAATATTGACATACGCTTAAAATGTACGTCTAATTAACATTATCATGTATAGGCTGTATTGTGTCTTCCTCTTTACATACATGTAACAGTTCTGATCGATTATGTATATAATAGTCATCCTGTACGACGTCTTTTGATACTACTTATCTTGTTTAGATAATTTGTATAATTCAAAATGAAGAAAGAAAATATCGACATGTCAACAGAATCTTTATTCAAACTAAAATAGGGAATAAACATCGTCAAAATAAAGACGTAAAGACTCATGAAAAAGGAGAATAAGACCAGGTGTTTCGGAAGGATAAGTGTCTTCTGCTTCACTGTCGACTTATGATAAATTAAAAGCAAGACAGAAATACTTATATCAACATAATCTGAATTCAAACTGAAATTCGATGACACGAGTGCAAAATAAGAACAAAAGATGGATTCACATGGAGACATCTGAAATGATACAAGAGAATAAGACCATTTATTCCCGAAGAGTAAGTGTCTTCTGCTTCATCGTCGAAAACATGCGAGCCTTGGTCACTCCAAATAAATCAGATTACGTTCTCAGGTGAGAATAAGGAAAGAGCAACGGAGCCACCAGGCACACAAATACATAGAACTTCATGTCCAACACGGAAATAGAATGTGTAGCAATGATGTCGTTGTCACGACTGATTCCTAAGGTTTGTCAAAGTAGCTGATCTTGCAAATTGCTTTCTATATATTTATTTTGATTTGAGATATGTTTTAGGTACACTGCAATGTAACATGCTTTGTCTGTGTAAACTAAACGTGATGAATCCACTGTAAGTAAGCTTTATGGAAGATTTACGTAAATGTGATATCATTAGCGATATATTGGTGCTCTTTTCTAGGCTGACTTTGAAGATGTGTTTGCGGAAAGCGATGGAACCCAGAGTTTCGACTGTGTCTGGGAAACCTCACAGCAATGCTTTTCATGCAGTAAGAACTGTTGCTATAACTTCCTGGCTGTTTTCTGTGGACTCTGTGCAGCCTTTTTCTGGGGATTCCAGTTCGCGTGTGTGGCGTTTGAACATGTCTGGTGTTTGACTCCTGCGTTGAAACTCTTTGTCATCAACTGTAGCGCCTTGCAGAAGTGTGTCGGAAATCTCGTTGGTTGTATTCTCGCGCCACTTTGCGAGACTTGTGGTCTCATGTTTTCCAACATCTCCATCCAGCACAGTGGAAGCAAAGGGTGACAATATCGTTGTTCACTCAATGAGGACAGTCAATAAAACTAGTGTTCCTAAATTATGTGTTTACAAACTTATACGTTCACAAGTTACACTAAACACGACTTTGTCTGTCTTTTATAAAGTCTAGGTTAAAGAGTGATTGCTGTTGTTTCCAGATGATTGCAAACACGACACACAAATTAGAGTTAGATACTGTCGAGCTAAGGAATGAATAAAACTGCATTATGTTTCGTCATTGAAGGACTTGTCACTGATGTCAAACTCTAGACAGGGAGGTGCATTAGTACCATAATTCAGATATTTAGTAATGATAGAACAGAATACTTGTATCTAAACAGGACTTACCAGGTTACAAAATATTCATTCATGCAACGTCAATATAAATCATGCAAACATGGACAGAGAAAACGCAATACCTTCAACTTCGATTCTATACGAAGGACGATTCTCTCTCTCCAAAACATATAACATGATGTAGACATTCATTATGTTACACGCCTATAACACTTGTATATCTGGATTCCATTAAGTAGGTTTAATACTCTCTTTCAAGCCAGATAAAAAACAACAACAACAACACTGAAGAAAGTACTTCGTATCTTGCAAATGTAAACTCTCTGTTGTCTCACACGTGACTTGTCGTTGATATCCTAGATACGCTGTTATTGTTAACAATCTATCGAAAAATAAATACATTTAAGTCTGGTTAAATACAATGTGTGCGTTTTATTAGCAGAAAATCTTCCGTTTGTTTCACTTGGTTTGGTTTCCTAAGAAACATTAAAATACATAACATGAGATAGGATGATAACATAGATCAATGCATGTAATACGTCATATATATTGTTTTGATTGAATAGGAAATATTTCACAATAACTTTTGCACGTTATTCAACAGAAGATAAAATTTACTTAATGACTTTCGCAGCAATCCGATAGAATCTTAGGTACATAATGTATACATAGATTTTCTCAGTAATAGAAATGTAGAACTTTCTCTCTTATCATGAACCTTTGTACATTAGAATAGGTAATGGGGTTCGTCCTATATAGATCTTACAAAAACCCTTAGTGTTTTCTATACATGTATTCTTTAAGGACCTCATATGATGAAAAGGAAAACATCGGTATATTACACGGTGAGTGATACCAAAGCTTTCTAATTTATGACCAGCCTGTTATCATGTGTAATTGTTTCGAAAATTCATTAACTCCATATCGTTTATTAAAATTATTCAATTACCAATTGTGTCTTTACTGAAAAAGAAGACCCCCACCACTGCCTGATATATTTCAGGCACGGTAATGGCGATAGCCAAAGTTTCCCAAACACCTCTCACCCAAGGTAGCACCTTGCAAGCGAGCCTCCTCACAACACACAACTCAACACGTATGTTGTCTTCTGATATTTAGACTGTCGTATTAACGTGATAAATATTGCATTACAGAATCCTTTTCTTGTAAAGAGACAAGATCGTGTATTCAAAACCTTCACAATAGATAGAAACATATATCCGCTATATCACGTAGGTTAATATAATGTGAAACTCGTGTTGCTAGTTTACAGAACACATGTGCCGAGACAGAAATTACAAGACGACTCTACAATGTTATCAACACATTCAAAATCAAAATTATAAAACTCCTGGTAAGCTTTTGAGGGCACACGCACCAACTTTTAAATTCACAAATCAATAAATGGAAGTCATTTATCAATATAAGTATACTGGTCTCTTGTCCGAACGTGTTTGGTGAATTGTTGCAAACCTGGTATGGGATTATAATCATGATAAAGGACAATTTTCATTATATTTCAGCAAATATTGGCAAGCAATCGGATTGAACATCTAGCTTATGTCTATATAAAAGTTCTCTCCATCCTATAATACATTTTTACACTTATATCCGACAATAAAATGGAACAGCCTGCAGTTTGTTCACAGTATAACATTGATTAAGCCATCATGATATTTAGATCTGATGCTAACACATTAATCATCCACATGACACCGATTGCTTTACTTGTCAGATTCCTACTGTGTGTAATATCTTTAATCACTAAGATATTCTGATATGAATCTAACCGTAACAAATATCTTTAGTATTGTGACGTGGCCCTAGTCAACGATGACGTCACGGATACCAGTCTACATTTTACAGGTAAGATCCTCATACGGGGCGTTCAGAAGGTCCATCGCGCTAAAATTTTACCAGTAACATGATATTGACATACTACATTATTACATAATTATACAAGTCCTTCTGTTATTTAATACGTGAATAAGATACATACCCTGAAATAATATATCTTACCTGTGGTCATCATTTGCAAATCAACACACCTGTTGTCTACATCATAATAAAGATGGACACGATAGGGCTTTCGGTTTGGGGATATGTTTTTTTCAAGTGTGACGTCATAACTTCCCTGCTTATTATGGCGTTACCAAAGCTAAACAAACCTCAAATTAGATTTTATATCGATCTAATAGAAAGCTGTTTTTCCGAATGCCTGCAAAAATGATGTGATAAACAGAACATTAAATTCCTTTCCTTTCATGTGTGTTATGTAAAGGTGAGACTCATTTCTGAAATCTCACATAAAATTGAAACTTCTGTCGGACCTGTTATTTAGAGCATGTGATACAATCAAAAGTCTTCGGCGTGGCACAGTGACCAATTTCTAATGATAAACACATTCACAGATTGTAAGGCTGAAAAATTTTAATGTACAAAGAAAATAACGAATTCATTTAAGAAAGGTTAATTTATCTCTCGGTATATCTAACTCCTCTAGCCATATAGAATTCATTACTCTTATAAAACAAAGAAATGTTATAGAGGCCATAAAGAGCACGAAAGGGTCATAAGGACTGGCAGATTGAGAAGGGAACACTGTCCTGTTAACTACACGTCTGAAGATTTCTACTGGCTTTTTAATTTAAAGCTTGGCAAGGTTCCATCGTACAGAATGAATTTATGAAGTGACTTTAACCAAACGTTTCTCAAAGTAATATCTAAACTGTTGTTCTCTCAACTCAACTTCAACACGGATGGCTTCAAAACAGTAATAGTACACAAAATACATGTAACCAGGATGGTTACGGTCGGTATGTCATTCGTCATAGTGAAGTAATTTCAAAAGTTAATGACTATTTACTCTGCTTGGAAGTGTTTGTTGTTTGTTGTTGGATGTTTTACAAATGTGTCAAAGCTGAAAAACACGGAAAATATTTGTGTGTGTTTACTCGTTCCGAACACTCAGAATATACAAAAGCCCTTCTATTCCATCCGTGTAACAGTGTTATGTATGTCTGCCCCCATCGACTGTCAAGCTTATAGCTATACCATCTGACAGAGTAAAACTAAGGGCAGTAACTCTGATTTGGGAGATCAGAATGGAATGTCTCGATGTTTGTGAAATACATTTAAAAAATCTGAAATACAGTTTGCCTCCATTGCCTGTGGACCCTTAATAGTGTTACTTTCATAAAACGATATCTATTCTTGCCTTCTGCGATCCTGGTGTTAAATCAACACTTCAAGATTTGCATGACAGGTGTGTTATTGTGTCTACAGATAAGGCGTTCAATAAGTTGATCCTTGTATGCAAACAATAAAACATTTACTGTATGCAAATAAGAAGTAAGCTTGCGCGATAAATTAAATAAAAAGAAATTTATTGACCATCTCCATCCTACAGACCCAACAAACATGTACAGCTTTCCACGAAGCTGTATGATAAGCGTGATGATTTCCATTTCCCTATTGTGAATTTTCTATTTCTGGATAGCAACACCCCCGCATTCCCAACCTTAGGTGTTTACATATCGCAGATTCAATGTTTAAGGACCTATTTTCATCATCATGATTGTAATCATTCGACAATGTGACACTTACTAGAATGTGAGTTTGGGTTATTATTATGTTGAAGCTTATTTAGATAATATATCGTTTATCTTTAAGACTAGTTATGTCACAGATGTAATAGGTACGACATTCCGACCACAGGACATTTTTTTGATGTATATGAAATACTCACACCCCCTCCCGTCTCTCTCCTCCTCATTATGTTTTCACAAATGACAAACAGAATCATGTAGTTTTCAAATTTTGCTACAACTCTTATAATCGGTTGTTGGTTGATTTCCTTGTGAGCTCACTCCTCTCAACAGAAGTTTCATCGAAGTTTCCATTGTACAAAGGAAACCTTATCGTCGTCTCTGTTGAACTACAAATGAGCGTTGTATATAGAGGTGCAATCGCTTTGATCCGTGATTTCTACGGCGTGTCAAATGTTGATCAATTATATAGTAATTCTTATTGTTTTCATGTTATTTATGTTGTATTGTTATTTATGTTGTATTGTTATTTATGTTGTATTGTTATCTATGTTGTGTATAGATACCATATAAATAGATTAGACATGAATACACTAAGAATGATATCAGTATATACTTTTGAAAGGCTTGATGAGCCGTAGATTTTTTTTCAGTCAGCGGACATAGTTTACATGTGGGAAGGGAGATAAATCAATCTGTTTTTCGAAATTTTGTGTTGTCACATGTGGAAATTGGGCTTACATATGGCATTTAAATAGGAACATGGCGTCCTTACATGTTTAAAAAAAACATCAATAAACAAAACTGTCGTAATGTACGTTATGATAAGAATTTATACGTCAACTTGATGTTCTTTTGAAATGATCACATGAATTAGATAGAAATCACGAAATTTATTGAATTACGGGGCTAGTTCACCTCCCCATCAAGATTTTGACATAAAGTTCGATCACTTTTCCTCATCAGTCGCTTCCTAGGTTTAACATTCAGGGTGTTAGCATCACTGACGACTCCTTGAAGGACGAAACAGCTGTGTGATACACTTTAATTCATTGTTTGGCTTTACTCTATCTGATTATTTTTTTGTATCGCAAGATGTGATTCAGTTGTGAGCTTTTTGTACAGTCCTGTATACTTATGGGTGGCAAACCTCTCTTCTGTGGTATCTCCCATTCTGTCAGTTACAAGTTTAACTGCTGTATTTTAGAATGAAAGTAAGAATTAAGTTGTGATACAGGCATGCTAGTCAGTCAATTACAATATTAACGATATGGAACGGTCTGTTATAACACCAAAAGTGAGCTAACAGGTAACCATACACTGTTAGAGCCAAGAAACATATCAGGGACTCATTGCTTAAACCTCACATAAAATAGGGGAAAAGAAAACGATTTTAACCAAATCGATATAAATATGAAATGTGGTCGAATAGATGTGTTTTTTTATTGGAAGGATTGGAGGGTCCATATCTGGTATGCAAATTGAAACTCATGCGTAGGTCATATATCATTTTTGCCATCATTATTTTGGATATATATGACGTCATTGATAATGTGGCGATAGACTGGCGCAACTAATTTCATAAAAAAATCACCATGAAATTAACAGCACATTAATCTGTGATTTTATTGGTTTAATAACCATGTTTTACAATAATTGGTCTCGGTTGATATCAGTATCAGTTAACAAGAAGATATTCAGGTCAGTAAGTGTATGTAAGCATTCCTACATTTGATGTTGTACAACAGTTAATGCTCGTTGACGTAAGAAACACAGCGGACAAGTTCGTACGCAATAAATAATAAATACAAAACTTTATTGACGTCCTAAATAAACAGGGTATAAGGCAATGGTTGATTGTTATATCTATGTTTTAGAGGACAATGATTTATCTTTTATTGTATTGTATCACCTTCAAGCTGTGTCTTAAAATACAAAAGTGTTTTATGATACAGAATATCATCAACAATGACGGTTCTGAAAACCGTCTTATAACACAAAAGTGTCTTATGATACAAAATATTATCAACAATGACGGTTCTGAAAACCGTCTTATAACACAAAAGTGTCTTATGATACAAAATATTATCAACAATGACGGTTCTGAAAACCGTCTTATAACACAAAAGTGTCTTATGATACAAAATATTATCAACAATGACGGTTCTGAAAACCGTCTTATAACACAAAAGTGTCTTATGATACAAAATATTATCAAGAATGACGGTTCTGAAAACCGTCTTTTATCACAAAAGTGTCTTATGATACAAAATATTATCAACAATGACGGTTCTGAAAACCGTCTTATAACACAAAAGTGTCTTATGACACAGAATATTATCAATAATGACGGTTCTGAAAACCGTCTTATAACACAAAAGTGTCTTATGATACAAAATATTATCAACAATGACGGTTCTGAAAACCGTCTTATAACACAAAAGTGTCTTATGATACAAAATATTATCAACAATGACGGTTCTGAAAACCGTCTTATAACACAAAAGTGTCTTATGATACAAAATATTATCAACAATGACGGTTTTAAAAACCGTCTTGAACACAAAAGTGTCTTATGATACAAAATATTATCAACAATGACGGTTCTGAAAACCGTCTTATAACACAAAAGTGTCTTATGAGCCGAACTATTATCAACAATGACGGTTCTGAAAACGTAAATACATTTTATGGATAAAACTGTTTTATAAATTTAGAAATCCAAACGAAATCGACTCAACCTTTTATCAAATACAATTAATGTACCATTGATGAAACACATTATACTTTATATGTGGTCTATTTCTATCCAGATTAATAACATGACGTCATCAGTAGAGCTAGACCAATCAAATGCCATTTATAGATAGGGACAAACACAATATCATTTGAAGACCTTGATCTTAATATGGTCACTTTTTTAACCAATCAGGATAGAGATCTGAAATCGTCTATATGTCTGTTTCCATATATTTTACTGTTAATTCATATAATACGTTTAGTACATTACAATTACTGAACAGTTCTAGATAAAAAAAAAAGGGGGGGCGTGGTTTACTGTAGCTGTTATTGTATTGTCTAAGGCATTGGTAACGTGTACATTCCCAGATGTCGGTTACAGCCTGAAGTAGAATAAACAAAATTACACATTATACCTGAAAGTACTGACGAAAATGTCATTCCATTTTTACATGAGAATCGACTTCGCACAGCTATACAGCAGATTTTCCAGAACAAGTGATAAATAGAAAATGAGAATCGGTAAGACTCGTAAGAAAGATTTGGTAGAAATTGATGCCAAAGCCAAATTGGGTGGTGAACAAGCTCCAAAATGATAAAACGCGAAACACCAGTGATACTATATAATAACGAACTTGTTTCTATTCAACCTTTGATGAATCTAAACACGTTACATACATTTTAGTCATGGTGTGTATTGACTTTTCTTTAATGTAGACTGTCGTTTAAACTTTGGTGATATAATATCAATCTGACACCATGATACATGTTTATTGAGAATCGATAACGTATTTGGTAAAAAAACGTCCAGAAACCCACTGATATCATGAACGTGAAAACTTGAAATACAAATTATTTTTCAGATATTTTAGATAAATAACGATAAAAAATCTAAAGAGGCATGGCGTGTAACCTCCCGCTTCTACCTCGGTGTGACCAACAAGTACCTGTTACCTTAATAAGCTGATATGTATATAGATACAATGTAATGCGTACCCCCAGATAAACACCTGTCCATCTACCCCATTATGTAACTGAGAAAAAAAACCTCATCACCGAGCATGTGCCTGTAGTTCTTCGGCCGATTTTATCTTTTTTTTTTTAATTTTTAACTGGAAACACTTCAATTGCAAGTGTTGCACGTTAAAAACAAGGTTTCAATACCTTCCACTTGTGTTTTCACCTCACTCTCAAGAAAGGTATTGAGAGTTTTAAATCTGAAGAACCTCGAGTGTTGTTAGGCTATCACAGATATTTTATTACTGCAATCAAACAACCCGGTAATATTTACTGTGTTATGAAATGTTGATCATGACATGGTAATATACAAAATGTATAAGATATATCGATTTTATTTTGTCAACTCAAATAAAACAATTCGACCACACGACATGGAAATCTCACACGCTGGGAGCTTGGATTCTTTTTTTAGTACATTGAAACCAATTGATTGCAATGGTACGTGTACAAAATAAGGAAGAAATCTCAACATTCCGTCCTAAGTTGTAATTCTTGTCAAAGAGTAGGACTAGTAAGAAGTTGTGGGGTATTTAATCAATTACAATGATCGATGTATACAGTTCCTGTTTACATATTTCAGTACAAGTAAAATACTCTCCAAAAAGGTGATATCTATGTTAACATCTTCCATAGATTACTTACCTTTACAGGTATATACTTATCAAAAGTTTACAAAATAAGAGTTGAATAACAATGGCCTCCCCCAAGCAAGACCGGGACCCTAATGGTGTCAACGTACATATACAGGTGAGGGACTACAATATTTAATCTCAGTACTTAAGTTTTCAAAATTAGTCATTATTTGCAGATGATAAAACATGATAAAAATTTTTCATCTACGAAATTAATTGTTTTTTATTCGATAATCTATGAATTATAGACTGGGTTCTAATGGCGGATCACCATAAAGTTATTGTTAAGAGTCAGACACTCGTACAGATTACCTGTGCAAATGCATATAATACCTAAAGTTAGCGGTGGTAAGATGTCAGGTTTAGTTACAGGTTAGTGGTGGTAACGTGTTAGGTTAAGTTACTGCAAGGTGATGGTAAAATGTCAGGTTTAGTTACAGGTTAGTGGTGGTAATGTTAGGTAAAGTTACTGCAAGGTGTCAGGTTTAGTTACAGGTTAGTGGTGGTAACGTGTCAGGTTTAGTTACAGGTTAGTGGTGGTAACGTGTTAGGTTTAGTTACAGGTTAGTGGTGGTAATGCTAGGTAAAGTTACTGTAAGGTGATGGTAAAATGTCAGGTTTAGTTACAGGTTAGTGGTGGTAACGTGTCAGGTTTAGTTACAGGTTAGTGGTGGTAACGTGTCAGGTTTAGTTACAGGTTAGTGGTGGTAACGTGTCTGGTTCACTTATAGGTTAGTGGTGGTAACGTGTCTGGTGTAGTTACAGGTTAGTGGTGGTAACGTGTTAGGTTAAGTCACTGCAAGGTGATGGTAAAATGTCAGGTTTAGTTACAGGTTAGTGGGGGCGAGTGTAAGAGTTCGTCAGTACAATCTACCAGCTTTAATGTATGGGGCGAGTGTAAGGGTTCGTCAGTACAATCTACCAGCTTTAATGTATGGTCCCGAGTGTAAGGGTTCGTCAGTACAATCTACCAGCTTTAATGTATGGGGCGAGTGTAAGGGTTCGTCAGTACAATCTACCAGCTTTAATGTATGGTCCCGAGTGTAAGAGTTCGTCAGTACAATCTACCAGCTTTAATGTATGGTCCCGAGTGTAAGGGTTCGTCAGTACAATCTACCAGCTTTAATGTATGGGGCGAGTGTAAGGGTTCGTCAGTACAATCTACCAGCTTTAATGTATGGTCCCGAGTGTAAGAGTTCGTCAGTACAATCTACCAGCTTTAATGTATGGGGCGAGTGTAAGGGTTCGTCAGTACAATCTACCAGCTTTAATGTATGGGTCCGAGTGTAAGGGTTCGTCAGTACAATCTACCAGCTTTAATGTATGGGGCGAGTGTAAGGGTTCGTCAGTACAATCTACCAGCTTTAATGTATGGGGCGAGTGTAAGGGTTCGTCAGTACAATCTACCAGCTTTGATGTATGGGGCGAGTGTAAGAGTTCGTCAGTACAATCTACCAGCTTTGATGTATGGGGCGAGTGTAAGAGTTCGTCAGTACAATCTACCAGCTTTGATGTATGGGGCGAGTGTAAGGGTTCGTCAGTACAATCTACCAGCTTTAATGTATGGGGCGAGTGTAAGGGTTCGTCAGTACAATCTACCAGCTTTAATGTATGGGTCCGAGTGTAAGAGTTCGTCAGTACAATCTACCAGCTTTGATGTATGGGTCCGAGTGTAAGGGTTCGTCAGTACAATCTACCAACTTTGATGTATGGGGCGAGTGTAAGGGTTCGTCAGTACAATCTACCAGCTTTGATGTATGGGGCGAGTGTAAGAGTTCGTCAGTACAATCTACCAGCTTTGATGTATGGGGCGAGTGTAAGAGTTCGTCAGTACAATCTACCAGCTTTGATGTATGGGGCGAGTGTAAGAGTTCGTTCATAGATATGTTGACCAGATTTAATAGAATTATTTATCGATTAAGAAATTATATGGCTTTACTGTATTGTCAAATGATTAAAATCTCTAACAAGATCAAGTTCAAAAGCACGTAGTTTTACCAATAGTGAAATAGCTACATGTATGTGTTAAACCTTTTTTATCGTTTGCTTCAGCCTGTTCGCTGAAGCAGAAGAGGAAAAAGACAAGAAAAATGGAGAGTGTTTAAATCACATCAAATTTTGATATTTTCAAAATTCATCAACATTGATGATTTGTCAAAATAATTTGTTAATTTGTGATTTTTTTCATCATTGCTGTTTTTATCTAACATTAGGCTAATTTCGAGGATGTATTTGCTGAGAGTTATGACATACAGAGCGTCGACTGTGTCTGGAAAACCTCACAGCAATGCTTTTCATGCAGTAAGAACTGTTGCTATAACTTCCTGGCTGTTTTCTGTGGACTCTGTGCGGCTTTTTTCTGGGGATTCCAGTTCGCGTGTGTGGCGTTTGAACATGTCTGGTGTTTGACTCCTGCGTTGAAACTCTTTGTCATCAACTGTAGCGCCTTGCAGAAGTTTGTCGGAAATCTCGTTGGTTGTATTCTCGCGCCAGTTTGCGAGACGTGCGGTCTCCTGTTTTCCAGTATCTCTGTCCAACACAATGGAAACAATGGCTAACACTGTGTAACTTTTGATGTGATTTCGTCTTTCACGTCCAGTTCTGTCGAATAACTAACGTGACACGGCAGATCTGATGCAGTGAAAGAACAACACTGAAGTGTAAAGACTTAATAATGATCTTTGACGAAATTTAATGTTAATAATACAAGGATTGTTAAGGAAAAAATTCCTAGAAAATACAAACATGTTAATATGATCGTAATCCGAACTCAAATTTAATAAAACTAGGGCAAAACATAAAAAAGAAAGATTTACACGGAGACTCCTGAAAAAGTAGAAGAAGAATAAGACCAGGTGTTCCGGAAGAGAAAACTTCTTTTGCATAATTATCGCCCTGTAAACCTTGGTTTAAGTAAGTTAAGTCACGTGCTCAAATGCGGACAACGCCTACAACAACAGAACCCACTGGCAAACTAACGAACATCAAACACGTCCAGTGATAAATCACACAAAGAAATAGAATATTTCTCAATAAGTATGACCAGCATTTCCATTTACGTACTGCAGAAATTGTCAAACAAATAGAAAAATTGAGGGTTCGGAAAACGTACAATTAATTATAGTTCAATCATTATCCACCACTTGACTCATTTTATATAGCATAATAAACTTGATTAAACATTATTAAACTTGTGTCGATAAATCTGATTGGTACTTCCTTCCTGTATTTTGTCTAAAGAAGCCAATCAACATCAATATCTTATTGCTGTCACTGGGTCAGGCTTTGCTAAGCGAGTCAGCGAAAAGTCCGAGCCTGGTCTTCTGTAAAAATATGCAGGAAGACAAAAAATACCAGAATTGACGATACAAAGGTCCGAGAAAGAAAATCCCCCGTGAAAGTTTTCCAAGAAAAGTGGATCACTGAACTGTACCGGTTACGATACGATGAATTACACTGAAAGATAAACATTGAACGTGACTGAAGTGGATCCCAGCGATGTTATTACCGTTTACAATCATTATGGTTATTTTCTCATAAATGCTGGTTAGTTACATACATTAAATACAAAATCATTAAGTCTGAATCAGAGATATCAGTTTTATTTGTGAATGTTATGTAAAGTCAAATCACATATAGTGTTTGTTAGGCCAATCAAAATCAACATTATGCAATGTATGTCACAGTGTAGAATCTACTACATATATTTATAAAACCCTCAACTCAATATCCAGAAGTTTTTTATTACCCCTTTTCATCTCCAATTCAAATGCCAAGGTGTTCTCCAAACAACTACAGTAAAATCTAGTTGGAATGATGATGATGGCCATCAAAATTTCCCCATAAGTGTCATCAACCTTCATCTTTTAATAACCCTGTGTTCCGACGTTGTCCGTCAGTTGACTTAATGCACGACAAAAGCGATAACGGGAACAGGTCTTTGAATATCGAATTAACTGTGACAAGTAAACGTCATAGAATGTGGATGCAGGAATGTTGCTATCCAGAAATAAAAATTCACAGTAGGGGAAATTGAAGACATACAGCTTGGTGAAAAGCTGTTCATGTTGGTTTCTTTGTAGGACAATATTGAGATAAGTCTGTCGTGTCCTTGGTTTCCAATTCTGGTGGGTATCTGCAATAGATGTAGTCGATAAATTTCTTTTTATCTAAAGACAAGACGTCATCTATATATCTGAAAATGACATTAAACGACATTGCAAGGTCTTTATGGCCTGTTTTGATAAGCTCTTCGATATATTCAGTTAGCCAACCGAGGGGACAGTTATGTCCCATAGGTATGCCAATAGGCTGTTGGAAGATCTTACGATCAAACTCGATGAAGATGTTGTTAGTCAAAAACATGATAATTTTTATGATTTCGTCCTCTATATATTTCTTCTTTTATATGGACGATTGTTTTTCACTAAATTCGATTCATTATAGTTTACACCCATATATTTGTACCTTTGTTCACATTTCTTGAAAAATGACGCTCTTATAACAGGAGAACGAAAGCGTTCTTTCAGTTTGGAATGGTGTATAGTGGAGTACAAAAAGTTCTTATAGAAGGAAACATTTTTAGAAGATTTGCCAAAAGTTCTTTTGAGTTCTCAAAAATCCACATGCTATTTATTCCACTTCTTGTGTATCACAATAAGATTGTAACCCAGATTTGATAGTACTTAGAATGGTGGTTAGTAGTTTTGACAAAGGCTTTGTTGAACAGTTAGTTGGGTCAGCAATAAAACGTTCATATGGTTTCTTGTGAAGTTAATTGCAACCATACGGTGCAACCGTGCCAAGCAGATTGTCAGCTGTCTACGTCATTATACCATGGTAATTCTTTTCCAAAATACGGACACTCATCGAAATGTCGATACAGCTATTGATTCTCTCCGCGGTTCGCTGTTGAACGATATATATTATATATATCAAACCACACAGAGCACACTTCATACCATACACAATGTTGGTAGTTTTATAATATATAAGAACTCAAAGCTTCTAGTAGTATACGAATTGTCGTATGCATTTCTCTTTAGTAACTAGAATATTGAAAGTTTTGCAGTGTTTTGTTCCCTATTTCAAAATGTTAAAAAATTCCGATGTAAATCTGTGAGGTAGATTTTGCACGGTTTTAATTGTGCTGCCGATTCTGAATTTTAATTGTTCAAAATTCTTTCAGGGCTTGATGTAACATTAGTAACGTCCTTAAGGACAATCCTAGGGGTACCCTGTTTTCCCATAATCAGTTCTGTACACTTTGGACCTATCAAGTGAGTCTTTTTTATACTGGGCGCCGACTCATCCACCATGTTATTTATGTCCTTATCTAAGGAAATAACAACACGACTGTATAGCAAATCCGTCAATGACGGAAGTATATCAAGATGTTTTATATTTTAGTTAACTTAGTTACACCTAGTTGATTCTGCCAACACCAATCCGTTGCAAATCAGAACTAAATCTATTCAAATCTAATCAGACCTAATTAAAAATCATGTGTGCCTCTTTTCTGTGTTACACAATGATATAAAAGTGACGTAATTCGTGTTGTATCTACATGTCATGTTCGTCTTAAAAACACCAATAAGATTAAAGAAACTCTTCTTGATCTCGAAATTGATGCCGAAAGTTATAGCTCCGCCATTCGGTTGTTGGAGAACTTGATTTAAATTGATCATTTAAACAAAGAAAATCCCAGAAGGATATTGACGCCCGCCATCGTTTGGTTTTTAGAAATTGGCTATTTTTTCTTTTTTTCCCTTTTTCTTTCTTGTGTTTTTGCTCTTAATTGCATGAAATTTGAAAATTCCCCTACAAAAAATAGCGATAATCTTCTTTAATGGCCAAATCCAAATGGTCACCTGTCGACCTTTTTTTCATTATAAATCCCAAAATCAGGATGGCACAACAAGGAGCCAATGAAAACGAAATCCCAACAAATCGAACTAATAAAGATCCGCCCATTATTGCCCAAGAGACAGTGATAACAAACTTTTTTTTTTCAAAATTCAAGATGGCCGTCCGTCAATAATTCTGCTATACTGATCAGTTCCAAATTAAAAAGGCCACAGATATGGATCAAGCGGTACACACACAAGATTCGTCCAGTACTTCTTTAAAATATCGAAAACAAGATTTGATAAGGACGGGCGGACGGACACGAGGCGATTTGAACTCGCTATCTGATGATGAGCTAAGATATTAACGTAGACGTGTATTCTACTATCTAAAGTTAGTTATCCGTGAGCAGTACCATTCTGTATTACTTTATGACTCGCCGTTCTCGAGGGAATTATTTGATACCCAATAACCATGCACTGGTTATCTATAATGTTCGGTAATGTTGCATCCATTCCCACGACTTCAATAATCTTAGCTAACTATCCTTTATTCACATCTTTCTCCATTCTGATCCACATATTTAATTAATACTGGATGAATTATATGCATTTCTGAATTTCTGGATAGCAACATCCCTGGATTCCCAACCTATGATGCTTACATGTCGCAGTTAAATCGATATTCGAGGGCATGTTCTCAATATCACTATTTTCATACAAGAAATCGTCAGTCGACAGAAAACCTCATAAAACAGGGTTGTGGGCTGTTGAAAATCTTAGGGAAGTTTTATGGTCGTCATAGTAATAACAATGAGAAACCTTATATTTCTTTGAGCGATATGAAGCTGGACGTATATGATGCTCATTAGTTTGTCTGTTGGTCCCGCTGTGGTATACCTTGTTCGCTTTGAGAATGTGACATGTAACACGGGTTTCCTCTATGAAGCAGAAGACCTTACCATTTTGGAACACACTGCTGTATTTTCCGTGTACTATTTCACAAGATTGGAATAGTACATTGGCTGGCTTTTGGGTCATCAACATGATTGTTTCTTTCATGTGCACATTACAGTTACATATTTTGACATGACATAACTGACATAACTCACAGGATTAATATTGAGGGCAATATAAGTTGTCTTGTTTTATATTACCATTTTGAGTGTAAATAAATATCTTTAGTCCAAGTATAAATGGTTAGATATTAATTATCTAGTATCTTACATGCAGTGTGTTTAAGTATATATCTGACGCGTACTTATACCACTGATCAAACAACTATTCAATTAGCATGTCACACCAGAAGAGATTTGAATAAATCTTATCTAATTACAAATGTACCTCATACGTCACGTGACAGATTACCGTGTGATCCCCTTACCACCTTACTCACGCACTCATTGTCAATGACAGATAATGATTATTCAAAATCATTTCCATTCCAAAAATAAAATACTTCATCAAACTTTATGGTATTGCTTGGAGACAGTGTCACCTCCTGTACTGTACTATATATTAAACATACAGATTTGAGATGATCTAGAATGAAGACTTAGTTAAATGATCGTGTATGCCTTACAGGATAGACTGTTCTATAATTTAACCAACTAAAGAAATTCCAATATGGATGATGAGATTAAAGATACAGTAAACGTGGACTTAAACAACCGCGACGTCAACGAAGTGAACTCCCACGTGCAGGTGACGTA